CTATACTATTAATAGATTAACTAATCTAAAGTCTTAAATATTACTACTTAAATACTAGTATATAGAACTTAGAATTAATAACCTAGATCTATTACTAAAGTACCTTAGACTATAGGGAATAACTATTTATATCTATATTTTAAAGGAGAAGAGAGTATAGGTATATAAAGCCGCTTTAAGATCTTAGAAAGGATACCTTATAGGTTATAAGGGGGATAATAGATATATTCTAAAAATCTAGAATCTAGAAACTAGGAAGATTATAATCTTAAGAGATATTAGCTTTCCTTAACTAGGGAATAAAGATTAGGAAGGAGGAGTACTAGTAATACTAAAGCTATCGAAATCTCTAGGAGATAATAATATAAACGAAATTTCTATCCTACTAATTAATATAGTTAGAACTAAACTAAGGATAGAGATTATAATAGTCTATAGATAGGATCTAATAACCCTATTAATAATTTACTTACCTATAATTTAAGGTAGTATTTTAACTATACTAGAGACTTTAGTAATACCTTATTAATAGAGACTACTTCCTATACTAAGGTATATAAGATTAATCCTTAAGAAACTTTAGAAAGAGATACTAATTCCTATAAATATAGAATAGTTAATAGTATAAAGAGTTAACTAGACTCTTACTCTAATCTAAGAAGAAATATAGGCTATTTATAATAAGAATATAATCCCTTAGATAGAGTAAATAATAATAATAGAGAAACTAGTAAAGAGAAAAGCTAATTTCTAGAAAAGACTTAAGGAACTTATAGCTAGAATTAATATAGAAGAGATAGATATACTAGAAGTATACTAGTATATAGATTTAATTAAATAGAACTTAATTAGGGAAACTAGCTCTATATAAGAGTTAACTCTAAGGGAAGATACCCTATCTCTAGAATAGATAAGGATAGAGTACTAGTATCCTTTCTCTTTATTAACTTAATAGATTCTAGAATATAGTATATAAGAAACTACTATATAATAAAGATCTTTATAAGGTACTTATAAAGTATCTCGGTATATTATATAACTAATATAGATATAAGAGAAGATTATTCCTATTATACCTACTATAGAACTAATAATAGTAGTACTAACTTAAATTTAAGAACCTTTAGTTAGGAGATTAAAAAGGAGTAATATTAGTATCCTACTAGAGAGATATTAGGATCCTAAATAAAAACTCCTAAATATCGAATATAAGAAGTAAAAGAGAGATACTAGGTATATAGAAAAATATAAACCTTCTTAAGAAGGAAATATAAAAAAGCTTTCTCTAGATAACTCTAATTAGGTAGATATTAATATACCTTTTATCTATAATAGAAAACCTCTTTATAATAAGGATATTAACCTATTATTAAGTTTTAAATAAATATAAAAATCACCTTTCTAGAATAAATAGAAGGAAGTAATAGAAAAATAGCTTAATAACCTTATTATAAAGAGAATATAGATATTAATCCTAAAACTATTAAAAGTAAAAGTCCTTCTAGGATAATAGCGTTTTACTATTAAGATAAATATAAGAGATAAAGTCTATAGTTTTAAGGTAAGATAGGTTATTTATAGTAACTTCTAAGAGAAAAGTAATAACTTAAGTAAGTTTTATATACTAGTTATATTAGAAATAATAATTAAAATTATCTTAATACTTATTATAGTCTATAGCCTTAAATAGTATTAAGTAGATTTTATAGTAGTTTATCTTAATATATTAAGAGAAGATATAGAGATAGTATATATAAGATAGCTAATAGGTTTTAAGTTTATAGATATAGAAGGAAATTTAAAGTAATAGGTATATATATTTAATTAGGCTCTTTTTAACCTATAAAACTCTACCTTCCTCTAGAATAAGGAGATAGACTATAAGCTCTAATAAACTAGCTTTAAACCCCTTAAGGATAACCTATATATCTATATTAAGATAGGAAAGAACTATATAGATCTAATAATTATAATAATCTATATTAATAACTTTATTATTACTATACCTATCTCTAAAGAGATAGACTTAGTTATAAAGTAACTTAAGAAATATTATAATATAAAAGACCTAGGAGAACTAAAGTAGTATCTTAACTATATACTTAATAGAGATTATAACACTAGGATAATTATTATATCTTAAGAAGCCTATATATAAAAGATTCTATATATTATAGATACTATAAGAATAAAAGAAATACTACTATTACTAGGATAGAGAGAATTTAACCTAAAAGATATTAACTCTAATCTACTTAATAATAAGAATTTCAAATACTACTAGATAGTAGTAGAGATACTTAATTAGCTTACTATTAAGATAAGACTAAATATTAGATTTACTATTATATACCTATAATATAGACTAGTAATACCAACTTTTTCTAATCTTAAGATAATAAGATATATTATTAAGTACCTTAGATATAACCCTAAGATAGGACTAATCTTTAGAAAGTTAGATAAACTATAATTTATAGTATTTATAGATATATTATATATAGACTAAATAGACTCTAAATTAACCGAAGGATATATCTAGTTCTTTATAGGAGTCCTAGTAGCTTAGTCTACTAAAAAGTAGATAATTACAGTAAACTCTATAATAATAGTAGAATAGTATATACTCGACTAACCGGCCTAGGATACTATATAGCTTACTAAGGTTACAGACTTACTAAGCCTATTAAAACCTAATCCCACAGTTATCTATACTAATAATATTAACTTATAGTTACTACTAATAAAGAAGGGAGGTAAGTCTACTACTAGATAGCTAGTACTCTAATAGTTCTTTATAAAGGATACTATGGCCTAAGGATATATAAATATCCTAAGGGTTAATATAAAGTAGAACGCAGCGGATAGGTTTACGAAGGCGCTTCCTAAAGAGCAATTCCGAGCTTTCTTAAAGCTTATTGGGATAACTTAATTCAAAGGAAAATTTGGGGTTTTTATAACTACCACGATTACGACATTTTAAGATCATCATTTTCAAAATAGGAGATATAAGATCTGTAGGGAGGATGTTAGGTGACCGGAAGGCGGTCACCCATATGGACCTAGATTACCATCAGATAGTTCGGCTCCCTCTTCCTCTCTCTCTCTCCCTTGTCCATTTTTATCTTAGCGAATCGACAATAGTTGTTTTCCCCTTTTCAGGCACAACGTAGTCAGATACGCCATTACTACTACTACTACTACTTCTACTACTACTACTATTACTACTACTACTCTTACTACTACTACTCTTACTACTACTACTCTTACTACTACCTGTACTCCGTACTCCGTACTTACCTAGTAACGTAGTCAGCATTTCCAATTAGCGTAGCGTAACCACTATGTGACCCTAATAGCCGCCAATGCATCAACTGCCGGCATACTCCCGAAAGATAACTTTCTCACCAGCAACTCATATAGGAAGGAGGTCTTAAATCAACCATAATTGGGTACAAAATACCTCGCTTAAGTCAATTGTCGCGAGGCGTAGAATCATCCATGGATATTAGCACAAACCAAAGTACGAAAGGCATAAACCAAACAGTCATACCAGTTAAACATCATACATGATGTTCCGAGACATGCCAATTGATCAGTCAATTGATCACCGTCACTAGCTGAAACATCCTACACGACACAAGATATGGGCTTATTCAATCCCTGCTCACCAGAGCATCTCCCGATCCCTATTCCTTCTTTTGGCCTCGGACATATGTATTCTGCCGGATCTACCCTCATCTCATAGACAGCGACGCCATATTTAAAGCCCACGGTATCGGGGGATTCGCCACCGGTCTAAAGCCGAGTTACCTAAGCTCACCCGGCCGAGACTAGGCCGCTTCGAGCCCCTCCAGATGTCCTCCCCGATGTCGCCACTGCACGCACAATCCGATATCATCCGACCGCATTATTTCTCTACGCGAAAGTCCTCGAAAGCCCTAGTTTGTCTGACTCTGATTGGCATGACACTTCACGAATTGGACTTTTATCGTTAGCGATTAACTACAACGTAACTAGTGGGGTACTCGGCGATCACCCCGCTGATCGTCCGTATCCATGTCTAACGGACAGAGTACAGGATGTGTATGTACGTACACGTATCCAGATCATCGCGACAAAGCACACATCCATGCATTGGCATGAAATCAACATGGGAGATCGGAATTAACCCTCAGGATCAATAGCCAATCCCCAGATTCCACCAGAAGGCTAGTCGAGATCTCGGAGAACGATCGGGGTCAGAACCTGCTCCATAGGAACCCCACACTAGCAGCCACAATATAAACCGACGACAGCTCATGCCGCACACTTCCGCCAGGACGAGTGGGAGGGCGCCGCGCTGAGATCTGCAGGCATACATGCCTAGAAGGGAATCTGTGGCTGGCTATATCATGGTGGCGGTGGCGCGAGCGCTGGAGCTATGCAGGGGGAATCTCGGCGGATTTGATTTTCTGTGGTTTCATGGTTTTTTCTTTGATTCGGGGTGCATACGACGGACGTGTTTGGCACATGGGTTTTTAGCGTTAGGGTTGATTCTTCAAGGTCGGTCTTCGGTGGTTACTCGGTTAGGACCGTACCGTCACTCTGGGACACTTGATGTTGTAGGACGGAGTATAGCAAGGACATCGTGCTCTCATGGACGACAGGGATTGGTTCATTGGTCTGTTCCTACTACCTTCATATGTGCATCATTGCGAACAATCAGTAAGTCTACCAAAAGCACATCGTCCCCTCGCCACGAAAGAAAACCATTGCAAATGAAATCTTGTTTATAAACAGCATGAATAGGTAAAAGACGCTAAGTTCTCAATGAGTGCAAAGCCAAGGGAAAAGGAGAGCAAACAAAGGTAGAGAAGGCCCAAATCAGCCGATGCTGCTGCGCGGATTAGACCATTCAACGGGGTGAATGCTAGATTGTCCGCTCAGGCAAACTCTCATCAGACAGACCTGGAGGGAAACACAACAGCAGAATAAAGTTATGGGATCGCCATGGCTTCTTACGCGATTCCCAGCGGCGGCACCATCCCCTGTTCCTCTCGGGCCTCGCCTCCAAGCTTGTAAGACACCTTGAATCGAATCTTGACCGAGTTGCCCTTCCCAGCATCAACTCCGTCAATGAGCATCTCCTGTTGGACACCATTTTGCTGCTGGGGTGCAATATCTCGGCCTGATTGCGGCCGAAGCTGTAGCGTGTAGGACTAATTCATCGTCAGCAAACTCATCCAAAACTGGACTGCGTTAGTAGCAAATAGCTTACCTTCTCCACAGCGACCTGGAAATGGAGATCTCCAATACGCTGACTAGTTGTGTTTGAAAATATAGCTACAACGTGGATCTGGCGTGGCTGCGTCGGCACCCGGCGCGCAGCGAAGTCAACTTGGAGCTGAGAGTTAAGGACTTGAATCTTATTGGTCGATGGAAGCGCATTGCTCGCTGGCAATGCGGATGCGAAATCCCACTCATCATCTTCCACTGGAGCGGCCTGCCGCGGCGGTTGAGGAGACGGACTCGTGCCTCCCATCAGGTCAAGCAATGACGATGGAGCGGGAGCAGGTTGGCTTTGCGCCGGTGGTTGAAAGGGACCAGATGCTGCCCGTGGGCTAGCAGAGACGAGCGATGCAAATGGATCAGCCGCTGGTGGCGGGGTCGCTCTGGACTGGGCTTGGGGCGAGACCCCCATGACGGGCGTGGGAGATTGAGAGACAGGTCGCGAACTGTTCAGAGAAGCAAGGATATCATAATTGGGTTTGAAGGCTGTTGGCGCATGCTGCTGAGGTTGTGATGGAACAGGCGGCGTTGGGCTTGCTGGCATGGACGCGAAGTTCACTTTAATATTGGTCAGTGATGGTGCTTTGGGGTATATTGCGCCGAGGTACTTACTGGAAGGTCCGAGAGAGATACCACCTCCGGGGGAGGGAGTTTGTCCGCCTAATGAAAGACCGAGTAGATCATTCTCCAAGGAGCTCCCACCGTGGGATGGCCCGGCCTCGTTACCGTTGGAGCTGGGTTCAGGCTCCGGGTCGAAATCGATAAGAGAGAGCTCGTTGTTTGCATTTGTTGAAACTCCAGTCGTGGTGCCCAGTGTACCCTTGGGAATCTGAGATGCAGCATCCAGATCACCTTTCTTAACTAGCTTATACCGCTCGATTGTGCGATGTATGCTGTCGTTGATCTCCAATAGCTTGTGGACGGCCTCGGGATCATCCGATTCTTCCTCGCACATTTTCTGGATTTTGGGGTGAGCGCTTTGCAAAGCACTCGCAAGTTCCTGGTACAATCGTCAGAGACCTATCAACCGGCAAACAACACACGGGACGTTTTATCACCTACCTCGAAAACTTCGCCTTCTGGGAGAGGTTCCCCGGGCTTTTGATTCTGCAGCATCTCTTCCAGAATCTTGGCTTTTTGTTGCACCTTAACAACCTCCTCCGCAGCCTTTGCTCGATAATCGGTTTTATGCCGATTGTCGAATCCTGCCATAACCTTCATGAGCCGGTTCGCTTCCTGTAGATCGGCGGGAGTGCCTCTCCGAATCAACTCCTGGAGTTTGGCAGACTGCGCTTCCCTCTCTTCCTCTTCCATCTCATCTGCTGAGCGGAGGTTCTAGCCAACGTTAATTTGACTCCGAAAATACCATGTGGGGGCCACATACATCACTTGGATTCAAGACCGCAGCATCTTCTCGACGGACCTCCGGGAACATATATCCCTTATAAAGCAACAGACGGTGCATGTCCCGAATGAAGCCTAGGTCATCCTTATAGCGCGATGTCTGGCAGATAGTCTGGCGCCACTCCTCGATCGACTCCAAAATGCGGTGTTGGACCCTGGAGGGCCGTATGGGTGGCCGCTCGGGGAACCTGCGAACCAATTCATTCAGAAACTCCTTTGTACCGATTTGGAGATGGAATGGATATCCGCAGTTCTTGACGGCAATATCGAGTAGCTAGAAACCGCGGTTGTCAGTCTCCCCCGCCTCGGCTGTCACTTGAGCTCACGTACCGCCAACGCCAACAATGCGACATTCTGATTCCGGGAATTGATGAGATGAACTATATCCAATGCGGCTTCTCGCGGCCTGAGAAGTGAATCCATGAGTGTGAGCCATACAACATTGGGTGTTTCGCTTACGCATTGCCTTTCTTGGAGTTGATTAGATCCGCAACTTCAAGGTTCAGGGCCAGGTTCGGTTCGTAGTTTTGAGGATCGCAGGCATTTCCTGTAGATAAGTCTCAGTATGAATCATTTGTGCCACATTTATTTCAACACTGAACTCACGGATTGCCCGCTGCAACGGCGAAGCGCCTGGCTCAGCGTAGACCCCGAAGCGGTCCCTGGCCGCCATTCGTGCAGATGCAGCCTCCAGGATGGCGGTGGACGAGGAACTAGGAGAGGAAGTGTATTAGCCGGATAAAGAGGGAGGTACTGGAAAGTACAAGATTCTAGAGGAGATGTGTACAGTCGCGAACGGGGATGCGGGCGGAGAACCCGTTTAGGCTGCACGTGTGGCGCTTGTGCTTGGCCTTGATCTTTTTTTTCAACCACTACATTTACCACCACGGAATACTCCAAGATACTCCAAGCAGAGTATTTGAAAATCCTACTAGATTTCGACCTCGTCATTCACCATGGTCCGCCACAAAAAAGATAACTTCGCGCGAGGAGGCAAGAAATTCAACAACCCCCGCCCCCGAGTGCCCCGCGGTGATGAAGAAGTTGAGGGCGCAACCTCCTCAAGGCCTCCTTACAAGGCTGCCTGCTGGGATATGGGACACTGTGATCCTAAGCGATGCTCGGGGAAGCGATTGATGAGGCTCGGTCTAATGCGGGAGCTTCACATTGGCCAGCGGCACCCCGGCGTAATCGTCTCGTATGTTTCGCAGTTTCGCAGTGCTTTTTTGGTCCTCTTAGCTTGCATGCTGACGATTGACTAGTCCAAATGCCAAGCGAATTATCTCTCCCGCAGACAAGGATATTATGGAGCAGCACGGTGCTGCCGTGGTCGAATGCTCTTGGGTGCGAGTCAAGGAAGTGCCCTGGTCACGGATTGGCGGAAAATGCGAACGACTTCGTATGTGATAAGAATTGGGCAATGATGAACTGGATTAATGGGATGCTTACTATACATAGTTCCCTACCTTATCGCCGCCAACACGGTTAACTATGGCAAACCATGGCGTCTGAACTGCGTCGAAGCGCTCGCCGCTTGCTTCGCCATCTGCGGTCGCTTAGAATGGGCCGAAGATCTACTCAGACATTTCAGCTATGGGCCAACTTTCTTGGAAATTAATCAAGAACTTCTGGCGCGCTATGCCGCCTGCGAAACAGAAGAGGATGTGAAGAGGACGGAAGAGGAATGGCTAACCAAGATCGAACGGGAATACGAAGATAGTCGCGTCGATGGAGGTGATGATGTTTGGACTAAAGGAAACACTAATCGTCTACCCGCACGAACTGATGAGGACGACGACGACGAAAGTGGAGACGAAGATGACGAAAATGCGGGCAGTGACGAAGAGGAAGATGAGGACAAGGATCCATTTGCGATTTCCGATGACTCCGAAGACGAAGAGCAAATGGCCGAGATTCGTCGCAAGATTCTCAATTCTAAAGCGTTCAAGGATCCGGAAGAGGAGGAAAGGCAGCAGCCGGAGAAAATTACTCGGCCGGAGCAGCTATATGTCGACTCGGATGCTGAGTCCGGCTCAGAAGGAAGCGAGGACGAGGCATTTGACAATATCATTAATGCGACGACGGTCACTGACCGCACGGGAATCAAAGCGATTCAGCAGCGGAAAGGAAGCGAGACTGTCTCTGCCTCGTTCTCTCGGGCGGAGATTTCTGCCCCGAAGAAATGGTGAAAGTGAGGCTTATTGTACATCAATTGCCCATCCACTCAACGGGCCGTTAGCTTCTTGCTCTGAGAGCTAGCACCATTTTCTGGAGTCTCTTGGTGGTTTCTCCCCTGGCAACACACATAGACAGCTTTATTGCTTTGCGAGTCCTGCCATAGCAAGTGCACTTGATTCTTCAAATTGAGTCCGGCATTCTGCTGTGTAGTATTGCCACTTGCTATCTCGTCATTGGGGTGGTTTCATTTCTCTGAAGGTACGCCTCGGTCAATTCACGGGATCACCAAGTTTCCTTTTACGCGACCTACGCAACTATATCCGCTCCTTCAAATACTATGTGTTATGACTCATTACAACGATATCTGCTTTACTTTGTACTCGGCGAGCGACGGACTATATCCACCGGAAAGGGAAAAGAACCAATTATCATCCATGGATGGCACATATCAAATTCACTATTTTCTTCCAAGGTTGGTTTAGTTCCTAAAATCATAGTGTGTGGTCTCAAAGGACATAGTCGTGCCTTCCGGGCCAAATTCGGAATCGGAGCAAGATCACCAATATAACCTTGCAAGACCGAAATTACCACACTTAAGACTCACAAGAACTTGTCAACTCACTTAAACAAATCCAATAATAGTTCTCACTCACTGGAGCCACACCTGTCCACCAAACACTGAACCCAGCCCATATCGACGAACTAAATGCGACGGCCACCCTCGAGCTCAACGGGCAAACAGAAAGATGGCACGGAAAAAGAACAGCATGAACCGCTTACTACCCAAAGAGCCGAAATGGACAGAATCCGCAGTTAATCCGCAATGCATGATTAATGACTTTGGGATATCGAGGGAACCCACGCCATCGCAGCAGGACAACACGATTAAGAAGTACGAGGAACAAAACATACAGCTAAGACGTGAGATGAAGGAACGGGGGAATACCATCAACAACCTTGTACGACACCACAAAGAAACCGTGAGCCAGTTTGAATATAACATGGCAAGGATGGCAAACCAGCTCCAGAAACAGGCAAAGATGATCGCCGACCTTGAGTGGCAGAAAGGAATGCTGCTTCGGAATCTCGAGGAACAGACCAGAATATCATATGCGCTAGGACAGCAAGATACGAAGACGAGGGAAGTCTTCGGTAACATTTCCAGCACGATGTTCTTAGAATTCGATAAACAGACAGGCATAATTGACGAAAAAACGAGCGCTATCCTCAAACTTGAAGCACAGAAACAAAAATCGCTAGCGATCTTGAGCTACAAAATGGAAAGATGGCTTTGGTGCTTGAATATCTCACAAGGAACAGTGAAGAATGTGCCTCTCTCTGGGACTAGGACAGAAGAGGAGAAGATGTACCTGATGATAAAGGCAGTATTGAATGCCTGTGGGGAGAGCGATACTAATGGAATGAGCCGAACCAGTCGTTTCCTGAAGAATATAAGACTTGTCAAATGCGAATCTCGTGTCACGGAGGGACCCCGGAGTAAACCAACATGTTTATTCTGATCCTATCGTCTCGGCCTAATGCCGGTATGATATAGAACCGACCACAGGCAATCGAATCGAACAAAGATGGAGGATTTGCAGTTCAACAAAGAATTACATTAAACATCCACGTCACTGTTTGCTACCCAGCCTAACCATTTTGCAATCATGTTATACCCCAAATTAAGATTCCAAGCGCAGATCCTTCTCACTGACGTTGCTTTCCGCAGAAACTGACGCTATGGTGCCGATGACATCGCGGGCAATCGACAGCATGATGTTTGGGCCAAGAATGCGTTAACGAGTGTGAAGAAGTATGGCAGATGAACGGGTTTGTGTCTGTGTAAACCGGACGAATGGGAGCTCGACTAGGTCGATACTTCCGACGGGGAGTGTATCTAAGAGCGTTTCGATGGTGAGATGAGGAGGAGACGGGTGAAATTGTCGAAGGCATTGTTGGAACCTCCTTGGCTGCTATAAATTGGGTTTAGTCTCGCTCTGTAGATTGGTTTACATGCGACTTACCTGCTCAAGTCTTGCTTTGTGCCGCTAATGAATTATACAATCTGATTTATCGATTCAAGATGTGAAGTTGGTTAGGCTTTGTTTTTCTTACTAGGGCAACCATAATAAAAGGCCTTGACGGGACGTCTAGGAAACGAAGATCTAGATCATGCAAGGGCTAGAATGGATTTTTTTTCTGAAAATTGAACCCGATATGCAAGGTATTCACGGGATGATGATCGATATATACAACGCTTTATATATGTCTGAGATAATCAAGAAAGTTGATTATCGAGTCATTGCTATTGTGTTGGTTATCACTCCCCATATAGTTTGCTTCATATCAAAAGGTCATTTCGATATGATAAATTAAGACAAAGAAAGGCATATATATATCTGCATTGTTAAAGGGATTGTCCTACTGGATCGAGGGATTCCATAGAATATTATAAGTATCTCAGTGCTCCTCTAGCGTCATAGATGCTTAATCAAAATTCAGAACTATCTATCTTGGTTATAAAAGCCCAAAGTTTTACTAGGTCTAAAATAAATAAAGATTGATATAATCCGAGATATCGTTCACTCAAACCGTTCTATAAAAGCACTGAACCCCGCGATGGCGGGGCAAACGCGCCCAAGGTCATAGATATCAGCTCCCCCATTTAGGAATTCTCTTTTACACGACCTTGTATTGAAAATAGATAGAATAAATGTCAATAATCTACTTCTCATTTGAGTTAGTACACGTGGCGGGTGAAGCTCAAACTCACCGGAGTGGAAATCCTTTTCACTTTTCCCACAATCCCGCAATCCACTTTCAACAACCTTTGGGACACCCTCGAACATAGGCCAAAATGCCCGATAAAGACTCCAGCACACCCCGTGTCTTCCTCTACCGACACGGTATGTTCCAGAACGTCAATATCTGCTTTCCGTAGTCTGACTATAGTCCAGGGCAGACGGAATGGTCCAAGAACGGACGGTACACCGGAATCACGGAGCTTGAGCTCACTCAAGATGGTGTCAACCAAGTCAATGCATCTGGCAAGATGATCGTCGGATCCGGCAAATTGATTGACCCAGCCAAACTTGCGCATGTCTACATCAGTCCTCGCAGGCGAGCGATTCAGACATTTGAGATTGCTTTCTCTGATGCCGATAAGCAGGCGCTTAATGATGCGCATAAGGTCTCTGAGACAGCCAGACTCGCCGAGTGGGACTACGGTTTGTATGAAGGTCTGTTGACCAAGGAAATCCGAGCCTTGAGAAAGGAGCACGGTCTGGATACCGAGAGCGAGTGGGATATCTGGAGAGACGGTTGCGAAAATGGAGAGTAAGTCTTTTTCAAAGAGAAACTCTTTCGAATTATATCCAGTCTACGATCATTATATCTGACAAGTCAATACAGGTCTGCACAACAGGTGACAGACCGTCTTGATAATCTCATTCAAGAAATTCGCGCGATCCAGAAGGACAATATGCACGGAGAAAATCCTTCTGATATCCTGCTGGTTGCACACGGACATTTGCTCCGTGCCTTTACCAAGCGCTGGTTGGGATATCCTATGGAGTTCCCTCTTTCTCTGATGCTTGACCCTGGCGCTGTTGGCGTCCTCAGGTAATTCCTTTTTCTCCCACTTCGCTGGCCTGGCAGTTGACCTTTATTTCTACTTGTAGTTATCAGCACCATAGCATTGATGAGCCTGCTATGTTGGTCGGATACGGATTTCCGTTGCAGGAATGATCTGATATGTCTGGATAATAGATCTCATAGAAGATAGCCCGGTTGTTACTAAATATAGACTTGATACATGGTGATGAAGAGTCAATGGGGATTCTGGCCTGAGTACTCGAAAGAACTGTAGGCTCTCCTCCAGGGGCCGTAGATTATTCATAGTCTAATTCCAGTCCGTCCAATTGATCCTCGAAGACTGTAGTAAATGGGATGAATATTGTATGAGATCAGGCAAAATAGACGAAAATGGATTATTTGCCCACATGACTAGAAAAGAGAACTTTATAACTTCAGAGTTTCTAAAACCTTCTACTGAAATCGCATCGAGGCTATACTTCAGATCACCAGACCAGTTCATCAAGTCATGAAGTTCACCGAGTTCATCAGAAGTTCGGCAATGCCCGTTCGCCTGACCTGGCCAACTGACAACAGATATGACCCTGCCCCTGTCACCCCCTAAATGTTGTGTCTTCACTTCAAATATGACATCAATACGAGTGTCTTCAAAGGCAGACAAGATCAGGTGGGAATAGAGGCTCTTGGCTGAAGAGCACCCCGGATGGCACTAACGGGGGGGCTATATGATCGCCTCACCCCTGATGGGTTTCTTTTATTTCTTTGCAACTTTACGCCCTGACATATGCTTTTCAAGGACTTTCCTCTGGATTGATTCTACTACCGTTCTATCATAGAAGCCTTCAATCTTGAAAGTGGCAAGGTCGCCAATATCATGCCGCACAAATCAGACGAGTTGTCGGTCGCTGAGGCTGAAAAGGAGGTCCATGAGGCATCAACTCCCACGTCTCCAACACCAGCACAAGAAAAACGCGGTTCGACCTTGATAAGTTTCTTCTCGTCTTTTCTTGGTCCCAAGAACCCGCTTGCACAACCAGCAGAGCCACACAAGCAGACCGTATGGCTGCTAGACAATACAGCGTACCAGCCGGTAAATGAGGATGCAAACGAGAATCATCTGTGCTGGCACGCCGAAGTAGTCGCCTATATCTTCGAAACAGAAGGGCGGAAAGACGCGGGCAACCTCGTCGCCGCGATCGCCGACCACATCGGGCTGGACGGCGAGGTGGGCAATCACGACGAAGCACGCCAACGCATCGCAGAGCGCGTCCAGCCCTTCCTTGACCAGGTGTCGCCAGCGCGCACAGTCATGCTGCAGGTACCCACATCGCCACGGGCGCAATCGCACGGACTCGGCCCGTCCGACCGTAACGGCATCGTCAGCCAAACGGTTGATATGGGCGAAGTGGGCATGTATGACGGGGAAGTTGTGCGGCCGCGGCTGCAGGATTTCGGCGACGAGGCTGTGTCGATGAGCACGACCTTTGCCGCCCCTGAGGGCTGGCTGGTCGTCTCGGATATTGACGATACTATCAAGCGCACTATGACGCCTGAGCCGACGGGAGTGATTCGCACAACCTTTGCGGATATCCCTGAGCCCATCGCTGGGATGCCGGAGTTTTATAAATATGTTCATGCTGAGCTATTTCCTGCGTGGTTTTATCTCTCCGCGTCGCCGCATAATCTTTACCCCTTCCTGCATGACTTCCTGGATGAACACTACTCCCCGGGCACGTTGGTGTTGCGCGATTACTCGTGGATGGATATCACGGGGCTTATCAAGTCGCTTACTGAGCAGACGCAAGAGTACAAGCTTGATCGGCTGGAGAAGATTCGGGGGTGGTTCCCGCGTCGAAGGGTGCTTTGTATAGGGGACTCGACGCAGAAGGATCCAGAGGCTTATGCGGAGATGTATAGTCGGTATCCCGAGTGGATTCATGCTATCATTATTCGCAAGGTTAAGGATGTGGCGGGTATGGAAGAGAAGAATGAACCGGGGAGGTTTGAGAAGGCATTTGAGTATGTGCCGTCGCATATTTGGACAGTCTTTGAGGATCCAAAGGAGTTATATAATTTTGTTGATGGGCTGGGTATGGAAGACCAGGCCTTATAGATGTAATAACCTGTGTATATTTAGTTGGAATGGCTATTTTGAACTTTTCAAACATCACTCTCGTGACACGCAAGGGAATAACGGTCTTTGCTGTTTGTGCCATGACAAAGACAATGGCAACCTTTACTGCAACTATCAAATAGATAGACTATGATTTCCACCGTACCTTGGGGGATAATGCAAGCAGCGATCTATAGACCCATTGATTGTGATCTTCTATCGCACTATCCAACTTCCACGAATCCCAGACTCTATATATAATATTTTCATGCCAAACCAAATCAAATAGAGATATAAGATCGAATTGCTGTTCATTGCAATGGAATTGTTCGGGATTGTCAAGTGGCAATGTTGACTTAAGCCCTACATACGTCACGATTAGGAAATGACCTCTGATCTATAGACGAAATGGCGAAGACCATACTTCCAAATCGATAACTTCCTTACGAGAAATCATTGTAAAGTCTCAAAGATCTCTAAACTAAGAAGATGTATCAAGATCCAAATGATACTATGCAGTCAGACATACCTCCCACGCAGCCCATCGTGGAACACTCCCCAAAGCATCTATCAGAGTCCTCAACACGCTCCCCAAAAGACATTAAGCCGCCATCTGAGCCCTCAAAACGCGCATCAGGAGCGACAAGAGGCACATCAGAAGCCATAAAGCCCCCTTCACATGCTGGAAAGCTCAGCTCATCAACGCTGAACGACTCACCATTCATACCACTGTCGATGCGAGCCCTCTACTTCACCCCAGACGGATCAGACAACGACACACCCGATGGAGTCCCAGAAGGAGAAATCAGCGACGCCATCTCACCCGACACAAGCACAAGCGTCGTGCGCCAGAAAGGAACAAACATCGTCTTCGACGCTGGGTTCCCGACCCCGCAGCCCTCCCCTCAGCAATACCTGCTGAAGATCGCCACAGCAGCCTTCTGTCACGACGAGATCCGTCTCGCCAGACTCCTCAATCCCCCAAAGACCACGCCGCATATCCCACTGCACAGTCTCTGCGGGACAGTCGTCAGCACTCCGCGCGACGACGAGGGGCGGGAAGAAGGCCCGAAGTTCAAAATTGGTGACGTGGTCTTCGGCGTGGTGAGCTATACCCGTGATGGCGGAGCTGCAGACTATGCAGTCGCGACTGAGACCGAGCTAGCGCTGAAACCGGATAATATCACTTTTGCTGAGGCGGCGGCACTTGCGCTGCCGGCGTTGACGGCTTGGCAAGCACTTTTTCGGTATGCCGGGCTTGATCCTGACTTGCCTGGCGGGTTGGGCGAGGGCGATGATGAGTTTGCGAATGGGACGGGGCGGTGGCTTTGGCAGCGTCAACGCCGTGAGTCCGTGCTCGGTAGCAGGGATTATGGCTACGGGCGCCGCAAAAGCAGTAATAGCGGCCTGTTAAATCATACTATAAGTGGTAATGGTAACGAAAGTGGGAACGGGCATTGGGTTTGGCAGTGGAATCGCGGCGGCTCCAGAACAAGTGCCAGTGGCAGCGTCAGCGGCAACGGCAACGGTTCCGACATTGACAACATCCCTCCAGCTGCTAGAGCGGTCAATCCCGCCCCCAGTCCTACGAATGTGCGTCGCGAGAGCCTAATCAGTCTCGTCAGCGGTAATCCCAGTGGCAAGAAAACCGTTGCTCGCGCTGCCAGCACAGTTGACCCCAATCCCAAGAGTACTGTCCGCCGCAACAGTTTGATCAGCCTGATCACGGGCAACACCGACGCTCCATCCTCTCGCGCTGCGAGCACAGTCGATCCCACAGCTAATCCCGATGCCAATAGCAAACCCCGCCGCGGCAGCTCTAGCCCGAGACGGCGCAGCAGCCTGTTAGGAAGCATAATTGGCGCTAATTCCAACGGCAGCGGGAAGCCAAAACCGCCTATTATCCGAGTACTCATCACCAACGCCCGTGACAGTGACATCGGCCGTATCGCAGTGCAGATCCTGCGAGCAGATTCGCTCTTCCCCATAGCGTTCCGGCCGTGGGTCTGTGTAACCTGCACGCAAGTCGAAGCCGATATCATCGAGAAGGACTGGGAGGTGGACGAGATAGTCATCATCCCGCACCTCCCGTCGCCTGAAGAGTGTAATATCGAGAAGGTGTTCCGCACGCGCCGCTGGGAGCCGGTTGATATTGTACTCGACTGTGCTGGTGGAGAAGTATTCCGAGCTGCCCATGCTGCCGGTGTCGTTAAGGACCATGGGGCTGTGTTGACTGTCGTGGATGGCCAGGTTGCGCTGCAGTCTCCGCTTGTTCCTGAGAAAGATGTGCTGGGCGAGAGGAAGCGTGGGATTAAAAGCCGGTTTGTGCCTGTCAATCCTGATGGGCCGGCTCTGGAGCGGATTGCGGAGCTGGTGGAGCAGAGTCTGGTCCGTGGGAGGGAGGTTACTATTGTTGATCTTTCGCATGCGGTGGATCTTTTGGCTTCTGGGGCTGCTGGGACGGCGGGGAGTCGGCGCGGTGGGATGGTGGTTGTTAGGGTTAATAGTGTTGCGTTCACGTAGATTGTCATGTTTATGCATTTTAATACAGAGATATCAAAAGTAAGCACGTCACAGGGAGCAATGATGTCGAAAGCAACCTATGGTTGTCTATCAATTTGAAAAGTGTTGGGCCACTTACTCGGTTGGGCCAAATATCACTTTCGCAATGCCCATGTCCCAAAAGCCAAGTCCAAGAAAAGAAGAAGGGAAAACAAGGGGTGATGTAAATCAAAGTTAATGAGATATTCCATACAAGAATAAGTTTTGACCCGATGACTGCATATGAAAGAAAAGAAAGCGATGCTCTGCCCCATCCCACAAGATCAAACTACATGAACAGAAGAAGAAACTGAAGTTTTGTGGCCGAGGTGGAAGGCAAGTGAGAGAGAGAAGGCGCAAAAAAGAAGTCGTGAAGAACAAAAGACAAGTGTATTAGTACCTCCGTTAGAGTAAAGAGTCAAGTCTGGTAAAAACGCTCAAGCATGCGGCGACAATCTGTCTACTTGTTAGCACATTCAAGGGTTGAACGCGGTATGAGGTGCAGCTTACCTCCATCTGAAGCTCTTTATCCTTGTTCCGATTGATCTCCTCGTTGACCACTTGAGCTAAATTGGCTCCAATCGCCTGGGAACCTCCGGCCTTCCTGCCAAACGGCCATTGCGAATACTCTGCTAGCAATTCATCCACCTGCGCGAAAGCTCTCTCGCGAGCCTCGTGGCTCATGGTGACCAAAGCGTTCTCGAGGACGTTTGCGGCGTATGCGGCGCAGACCATGGTGATTGAGCGAAGGTATCGGTATTCTGCGTCTTCGGGAAGCCATGGGCTAGGAGGGATAATCACAGTGCGGTTACTGCAAATGTTGCGCACCCGTCGGTGGAGCTCGTCTTTCGCGCCGCCGTCGGCCACAGGATGCGTCGCCATATCGAAGAGAAGGAAGTTGCGCTTTTCGGTTCGGAGAATACCCTTGTCCACAAGACCCTTGGCTAGTCGTTCCCGGACTTGCTTCAATTGATATCCAATCTTCATCAGGTTCCAGGTTTCGCCTAACAAGTAGCCCCGGTCAGCAACGTCGCAACCCAAATTTCTGCTATGGGCTGATCTCACCACTCAGCAAATCAATCCATGAGTTGACGCTCATCTTCTCGCTTGACTTCATCATCTTCAGCGTCTCGTCCAGCAAGACCTCCCCAGTCAATGTATCGTCGATGACCTCGATGATGCGGTCGGCCAGGGGGAAACGTCGCCGCGACGAATCCTTCTGCATGCTTATACGGCCGCGGAGCGCGAGCTCAATGACGATACACCCTCGCAGGGCATACGAGATGTTTTCGTTCCAGAAAGACAGATAACCCTGTTGCGGCGTGGGCGCGAGGTCAGCGATCGGACCACGAATCGAACAAAGCAAAGTTGGGGCATGAGATAATATCCATGAAGACTCACCTGTTTATCTTTCAGACCCAGCAGCAAGATATCCTCCATCAGAGTCAATTTGGGCTGCTTGCCCCGTTCCTCGTTTTCGCTGATGTCGCGGGGGTCGAATGCGATCTTGTGGCCATTCTCTGCATTGGTAAAAGACGTTTCCGGTCCACGGTTATCCGTCGCAGAGCCATTTCGGGAGATTGGCGATGACACTCGGTTGTCATCTTGTTCGTCTGCCCCAGCGACTCGACCGGCGCCTCTGCGGCGAGTCAAGCCCCCGGCTGCTGAGGCCATGAGATCGGGTCGGGTTGGGCGGGGGATCAAAAAGGGATGGAGAGAGATATGGCCGGAGATGACCAAAGGCTTCCGATCTGTATGCCGGTGGTTCGAATGGTCTGGGTTGGTGAGATGTTGAGAGGGACCGTTTAGGCCGAAAGTCTGCGGTTGAAGTGGGACTTTCGGTGTCAGGGGAAACCAGAGACCGAGTGGGCTTAGCCAAAACGATACAGTGTCGAGTATACTGAACTAAACCCGCCTAAATACGAGAGGAATAGGCGACTGTAAAGAATGGAGTTGTGAAAAGGGTGAAGTTCAAAGTAAGTTAGTTCGGTGATGTGGCTCTTTGAGTATCGGCGGGTGCTTAAACACCCAAGGGCTAGCAATCTCCGCGTTATGAGTTTATTTGATGGCTCTATTTTTTGAAAAATTGGGAATATAGTTAAGTTAGTATATATGTACAATCTATTCTTATATTTCGATATGCTTATGTACTCTGTGTTTTTGTCTTGTGTTCACTGTTAAACCAAAATATGTAGATAAATCAACTTAGGACTACATCCATACATTCCATGGCAATCATATGAGATGTAGAGGTAACTATATACCTAAACATATACTGAAATGTCTAGACGCATATGGTGAATACCACTACGTAGCAGTTCTGCTTCAAAATTGCATAAATTGCATAAATTGCACTCAAATGATATACACGATATAGGAAAGAAAAGCCACTGGCATGTATTCAGCATACAAAATAGCATGTCGGTTGAGTGTCACTGTGTCCAGCAAACCCCACTGATGCCAACATCCCGATTCTTTTTCTATCCGACTCTCCAACCGATCCCAGGTATTCAAATTAAATATTTAGTGGGCTGTGAAAAAGTCAGCACATGTAAAGGAGGAAGGGGTGCTATGGGATTCACATACCATCGGGCTGGGCCAGGATGTACTCGACAGCCTTGTCAACTATACATAATATTCATGTCAGCTCTGGTAAACGAAAAATAACAAGGTCATCAAGCCCTAACATACCGCTGTGGATCTGGTCGGCCTCCTTGTCGGGGATCTCAATGCTGAACTCCTGTTGAGACGGTTAGATACCCATCATATAATATACAATTGATGCTTTTCCGAGGAAAACCGGGCGCGTACCTCCTCAATGGCCATCACGACCTCGACAGTGTCCAGGCTGTCCAGACCAAGGTCGTTCGAGAAGTGGGAAGTGCCATTAATCTGCAGGTCAAATAGGTTTAGTCAATGAATGTTTTCGGTCGCCTCCCATAGCTCATAGCGATGTAAAGGTGGCGACGGTGCATCCGACAGATAATCACTGACCTTGCTGGCATCGGAGACCTAAGCATGAAACAAATGCAGTTAGTAATTTGTTTTTCGTCTATAGCCGATAGATGGCGAGATTTCCGGGGAAACAACATGACGCACCTTGTCGAAGTTCTTGAGCAAATTGACTATCCGGCCCTCGGCCTCGCTCTTGCTAAGACCGGCAGGGGCGGAGTAGAGACGGATACCCTGAGCGAAGCGAGGAGTGAATTGAGGGACCTGGGCAGCAATGGGGGAGCTGCGGATGTGGAAGGGAGCCGGGGTCCTGATGACACGGGGGGCGGAAGCCTTCAAGGAACGAACAATGGCGGAGCGGAACATGATGAAGTAGATTGATCGGACTAGCGCAAAGGCTGAAAAGATCTAAAGTATTAAAAAGAGATGGTGGAGAGTAAACGGGTAGAGATTGGGGAAAGACGGCTGCCGCAGAAGAGGAAAGATGTGAGGTCGCGCCCAGCAAAATCCTGCGGGCCAATCAACGCCCGACAGAAAGGAATGACCTAAGCCGGAAACCTGCAAACCACCACAACCTCAGACTTGCTCCCCTTCACCTCCAATTGAACCTCGATTGCCCCATATCTCCAACCTCACTCTCCTCTCCAAAACCATGGCCGCCACCCGCTCGGTCGCGAGGCTAATCGCCTACCGTCGGCCGACCCCCTTCGGATTGCTGGGCTCAACCGCAAACTTCTCTTCTTCGACGTACCGCGCAGCAACCCCAGCGGGACCCCCTCAGGCCGGGTTCCGCCTGCCCCCGCCCAAGCACTGGGATCAGAGCTCCGAGTCCGCCTTGGACAAGGCCAGCAAATATTTCCTCATGGCAGAGATCTTCCGCGGCATGTACGTGGTGCTTGAGCAGTTTTTCAGACCACCGTAAGTCCTTGTCCCACTCAACCTTGCCGGCGATACGGATCGCAATCCAAAATCAATGGCATCGAAATATATCAACTAATTGCGTTGCAATGTTCCAGTTACACCATCTTCTACCCTTTCGAGAAGGGTCCTATCTCCCCCCGTTTCCGTGGCGAACACGCCCTCCGTCGCTATCCCACTGGTGAAGAGCGCTGCATTGCTTGCAAGCTCTGTGAGGCTATCTGCCCGGCCCAAGCTATTACGATTGAGGCCGAAGAGCGTGAGGATGGAAGCCGCCGCACGACCCGTTACGATATTGATATGACCAAGTGCATTTACTGTGGCTACTGCCAGGAGAGCTGCCCTGTGGATGCCATCGTTGAGAGTGAGTTCAACACCCTCAGGTTACATCTCAATTGACATTCAAGCCGGATTACTAACATTTTTTTCTTACAGCTTCCAACGCCGAGTATGCCACCGAGACCCGCGAGGAGCTTCTGTACAACAAGGAGAAGCTCCTCTCCAATGGTGATAAGTGGGAGCCTGAGATTGCAGCTAGTGCTCGTGCAGATGCTCCCTACCGATAATCTATTTCCCTCCAATCTGATTGGGATCTTCAGGCAAATCCACATCTATTCCAGATGTTAGATGTGTGAACACGAAGATGCTAGTCGCAATACCCATCCATTCAAGAGGCACTAAGCCTCGAAAAACAAGAATGATTTTAAGCCCATCACATTACTGTACATAACTTGCCCTCGATTGTGTTATCATCTTGTACTAGTCAATTCCTAAAGGAAATGCCTTTTCCTGGAACCCTGGCCCCCTTGTCTCTTTTATTTTCTATGTTATGGAATCTAGCAACTCTTTTTCTTCTAGTTGAGATTCATATATAAATTTGGCAATCCCATCTTATATCTTCGCTGAACACTTTTTCGCTAACCGCATAAATATAGTACATCTTGAGATCTATAGGTTTACATAGGCATAAAGACAAAAGGAAGACATATACAGCTCGATAAGAAAATGATATTGTATTCACAGATAAATCAAATCGCTACCGATGCTGTCATGCATAGACATAAAGTGACAGACTAAGCTGCCAAAGACACAAACGTAAACACCAGGCACCTTGATCTCCGGATGGATATTTCCCAGTTCAAAGTCTCAAAACACTTTTTTTAGTTCGGGGGCTTCTGTGTGCGATCTTGTTTTAGGGATGTAAACATCCAAGACACAAAGACTGATCTGAGGGGTATGCAGAGAAAATAAAAAGAAGAACGTAAAACATGGGTTGATGTAAAAGCAAGTGAGAAACGAGATAAAAGTAAGCCACTAGATAGAAGCTTGTTTATTTCTTCTTGCCACCACCCTTGAAGCTGCCCTCAAATCCAGGACGAGCAGCCTTCTTCTTTCCACTGCTGCTAGACTTCTTCTTGCCCCCCTTGGTGCCCTTGTCGTCCCGGCGCTTGCGAAGGTTCTCCTCGCGCTTGTTCTGGCGCTGTTCCTTAGATTTAGCGACAGTGTCAATGCGGTCCCTCCACTCGCGCTCAGACTTCTTCTTTGCCGTTTCCTTGCGCTTGAGGGCCTTCTTCAGCAAAGAGGTATCGTCGCGGACACGCTCGCCGTGAGCACGCTTCTTCGCGTTCAACCAAAGGTCCTTCTCTTCAACATCGGCACGCTTGGTAGGGTCCATCTCTTCGAGACGGGCTTTCTTGGCCTCGGCAACCTTGAGCTGGGAAGCCGGATCACGGGCACCGCCAGTCTTCGGCTTTTCGCGTACGTTGTTTCCGGTGATATCTGTCTGCTGGCCGTCTGTGAACATCACACGGCCGAAGGAGAAGTTGTTGCTAGCGGAGCTGACGGACTCGGCAGGGGAGCGGGGGGATGCCAGGAGCGATCCAGAGCCACCGGGCGAGAAGCGGCGGGCCATGGCCTCGTCATTCTTCTTTTCTTCCTCAACCTTGGCCTTTTCGCGGAGTTCTTTCTTGTGTGCCTTTCTTTGTTCGGCCTTTTGCCGGCGGGCTTCGATCAGCTCTTGGCGGTTGCGTGCAGGCTTGCCGTTGAGTCCATCTGCGTGGCGCTTGGCCCGGAGCTCATCCAGACGCTTCTGTAGACGCTGCTTCAACTCTTCGGGTGTGTGCTTAAGAGGCTTGGGCTCTGAGGATTTGACGTCGGTAGAGACGGAGGGAGGAACGATGGAGGAAATGGAGGAGGTGCCGGATTGGGGGTTTGAGGTATCGAAGGTAGGAGAGTCGGTGGTAGAAGGGGCAGAAGAAGGGTCTTCCTGTTCAGCGTTGAACTCAATAGAGAACCCTTCCTCGACAACACCGTCATCTTCTTGGTCGTCATCTTCATCCTCGGACGCTTCAGTGTCCTTGGCTGCATTGCCGTTAGGCTTGGTTGCAGATTTTTCCGAATCCTCGGTTGGGGTAGTCGATGGCTTCTTTCCCTGCTGGGCTTTTTCCTTCCGGGCCGCATCCTTGGCCTTCTTTTTCTCCATTTGTGCGGCCTTTTTCTGGGCCTTCTTCTCTTCCTTTTGCTTTTTCCGTGCCTCGGCCTCTGCTGCCTTGGCGGCGTCTGGCTTATCAGTCTTTTCAACCTGCTTTTGCTTCTTGATGTTGGCGGCTCCGCGGTTCAGTCCTTCCTTAGGGGTCTCCGTGCCCATCTCTCCGTCGGACGAGTCGGACTCGAGGGTGCCATCCTCCCGCTTTCGCTTGCGTGCGTTTTCATCCATCACGTCTTTGGCGGTCTTGGCGGCATCGGGGTTCAGCTTCGCCCGCTTCGCCTCGCGTGCTTGTTCTTTGGTTTGCTTTTTGCGTTGCCATTGATCCTAAAAATGAGGATGATGGTCAGACAGAGATCTTCAGAATTAAAGATAAAGCCAAGAACACAAGCTGACTCCAGTCCCAAAGCCGCTAACGTATGAAATGCAACAGGGTCACATACACTTGTATCTTCTTCGCCATAATAATATTTGGCGGGGATCAAAGACAGCAGACCGTCAAATGCCTGCGCATGGCTGCGCAGCCGTTCCTTGAGGGCAGTCAGCTCGCATTCCTTGCGGGGCATTCTCCGAGTGCACAAACCTCGATATCATCCATAATATTTTCCAGTACACAGAAATTGTATTCTGGAAGGGAAAGCTAGACAGTCAAGCGCAACGAAAAATTTTGGGGAAGGAAATCTTGGCGCTACAATTGTCTCCGCTTCGGCTGGTTCACCGCCCTCACACAACAATTTTGCTGTATTGGTCCGTGCATTTTGATAGACAGGCTCCAGGTCGGTTGATTGTTCCCTTCACCGTATTCTTTCTATTCATCCTTTTTGATTGTGCTCTTTTCTACCTTGATCTTCGATTGATTCCATGGTTATGCATTGTTTTATTCAATACATGAATAGGCACTCCATGATAAATGACGTGGATATTCTCTCCACTTCTATATCAGACCTGATCCACGAGGCCAGTCCTAACGTCTAGTCCAGGGCATCCCTCGCTTTTGATACTTGTCACATTCCCATACGGCCAAGGATCTGTCCAAATCACGTCGAATCTGAAACAGTTAGCGCAGGACATAACACAAGGCAAACAAACGCTCTTCTGTCGAGTCGCGAGTCGAGGGTTCCATGGGACACTCGTCTCCCAGACGTATGTCAAGCAATGCGAATCTCATACTAACAAGAAGACACATGACGATAAAAATTACCTACCGCTTATTTGGATATTCAACAGGCTCCCAGGCACCAAGCTCCTCCACAATCCCACTCATAGTCGAGTGCCGCCATGCAACCAAAATGTTTCCCGGTCCGTCATACGATCTGATCGCCTTAGCCACACATTTCACTTTGTTCCGCTTGCAATGTGTGTCAACTCTGAGACCCAGATCTCTAGCAAGGGGTAGAACGGTTTCAAACGCACGGCCATGTGTGCCATCTACAGGCAGAAAGCATATTGTCAGCCATGTCTATGACACTTAGTCACCTGCGTGCCTCGTTGCAGCACTGTGGTTTCGATTTGCTCTCGATTATTGTTGTAAACCTACCCCATTTCACACGAGGTGCCATAATATGCCCGATGTTGTACTCCGAGCCTTGGCCGAAAACATGTCTTAAACACTGTGCCCGCTTGACTCCGTCTAGTGTCAAACCATGGTCGTTGGGATCCTGAGGCTTCTCGCCGTGTCGAATTATATAGACCGTTGGATGTGATTTTGCGGACACGATACCGAGGCAAAATCCCAGAGCTGAGAAGACCGATTGCAGTCGCATTTTTGGCACATACACTAATCAACCCAGTCGTATACAAAGTAAGCGGGTAATAGCTAATGTATGGACAGTCGAGCAGTGGAAGACCACAGAAAATGATCTTTGGGGACAATTATAAGAGTGTGGGAAAAAGCAAAACCTCATGGAAATTTGCTTATGTCGATCGGGTGCCCTTAGCTCTAGTTATAAGTACAGGACACCATTTTGTTATGGAGTCACATACCGAAGAGCACAATAGGGCTGACACAAAAAAAAGCAAAGGTGGATCAGCAGATGACATTCCAATGATATGATCATCCAACAGCAAGGGCGACTACAGAAAGCATAAGGTTCTGCAAGTTGACAAACTACAGGCAGGCGTTCGGTCGATGTGCTATGATGCAGTGGTTTGATTGGTCTGCAGATTATGCATGTTCATTGTACTGCATCGATCGACTCGGGGTTGGGAATGGTCTCGGAGATCTGTACACAGTACATATGCAGCGGTGTTTATAGTCAAGAGCACATGTACAACTGCGATTTAGTTTATAAACGTATGGAACAGATCTAATGACAATGAACCTGTGGTCGGAGTATATCTCGGATGTGATTGAAGACTCTCACAATTCGATAGTGGTCAGCGTGCATGCTGTACAACGTAGGATATGTATGAGGACCCTAGGGGTAGATCAACCTACTGTCACCCGATCGGACAAGTCCCATATGATAGTCCCATGTTTAAACTAGTCATGCATCAATCATAATCGATCAACTAGCCCACTAGAAACGAGAGCATCTAAGTGGTCCACGGCATGGAGATATGGGAATCGGGGGAGGGGCAACACACAAGCCAGGCTTGGTGATTTATGAAAGAAAATGGTCTGGTGACTGGCTCCTTTGCCAATATTCATTGAAGGCAGTAGGTGTCTACTAATTTAGTAATTCCTCGGTCGTATGCCCTAGATATATATTGTTGACACCAAGTGATTGACGTTGTACATTGTTGCCTCCCGATTCGCCATCATGTGATGGTCACCCGAGCATGTCATCATTATGACTTCAAAGCAATTTGACTTCGATGTTGTTTTGACAACATGTTGTCAGTCGTAATAGTTGGTATATAGACTTGGCTTCAGGCGCTATTATCTCTTAGGATCAGAAATCCACGACTCGTGATGTGTTCGGCAAATGACGCCACCTTTAAACTGTTCTGTTCAGCTTACTCCGTAGCGTAGGCAGCCACATAAAACCGTCCCAATACGGCCGATACAGAGGAGACCTCGGGAGCCAATGTGCGGCAGCGGAGAAAGCGATTCTGGAAGATCCGTGGAAGCCGATAGATCCGCGTAATCTATTTTGGGCCTAATCTGGTAATGTATAAACCGAGGCTGAGCCCGGCATAGCCACAGTAGGTTACAGTATTGTGTTCCAAAGTTGGAAATGTGGCTGTGTAAGTGACTTAATCAGAGGCTGAGTGCATCATCCATGGATAGATTTCAAGTCCGAACTAGTAAAAGACGGTAAATGCACAGATGCGCAAGATGCCCAGGCGTACAGGGCTGAAAATGCCCGACGCTTACCAACGCTGCGCCTCCCCTCGTTCCGTAACGTTTCGCTTGCCATGTGGGGTTCTTACCGTCAGCCCTGTGGTTACTTGAAGTCACCTCTTATAAAAGGTTGCCCCCCTCACTTGACTTCTCTTCATCACTTACCACTCCTCACATCTACACTACCCCACCTTCCATCAGCCATCAATTTTTTATCAAGCCAATTCAAATTACATCATGTCCGGTTACGATCAGTACAACCAGGGTGGCTACGGCCAGCAGCAAGGCTATGGTGGCCAACAAGGCTACGGTGGCCAGCAGGGCTATGGCCAACAGCAACAGTACGGTCAGGGTCAAGAGGGCTACGGCCAGCAAGGCTATGGCCAGCAGCAGGGTTCTTCCGACTACTACTCCGGCCAGCAGCAACAGGGCTACGGCCAGCAGCAGGGTGGTTCTTCCGACTACTACTCCGGCCAGCAGCAGCAAGGCTATGGCCAGCAGGACCAGAACCGCCAGGGGTATGTCCTTCCCTCTCCATTCACTTCATTCATTATGTACTAACAGATCATAGTGGCTATGAGCAGCAGCAGGGTGCTCCCGGTGAGGCCCAGGAGGGCGAGCGTGGTCTTGCCGGCGCTCTCGCCGGTGGTGCTGCCGGTGGCTTCGCTGGCCACAAGGTCAACCACGGTTTCCTCGGAACAATTGGTGGAGCCATCATTGGTAGCATCGCTGAAGACGCTGTCAAGAAGCACCGCAACAGCGACAACCAATCTCCTCCTCAGTACGGTGCCCCCCCTCCAAACGGTCAATATGGCGGCGGCCCTCCTTCCCACAATGGTAGCGGCGGCGGCTCCATGATGGATCAGCTCGGTGGCTTCTTTAAGAAGTAGAAGGTTTCCGATGAACCTCTCTCTTGCGTTTTCTGCCTGACGACACGGTTTTCATGAATTTCTTTCTTTGCTCTTATTATCCCAATGGGTCGGCATGCATTTTTCTTTTCGCCTTCCGCCAGATCGCTTTCATTTCTCATGGGTTTTTTTCTCCTCCTTAAAGAGGCTTGTACCATGACAGAGCTGCGTTGATATTGGAAATCGCCTTTGTGTGGTCTGACCATAATTTTCAGAATTGCAACGTGATTAACTTGCAACATTCCTTGTAAAAGACAGTAAACTAATTAAGTAAATTGCCATTGCAAATCAAAATGATAGACACTTCCATCTGTGTGTATGTTGTAGCAGGCGGAGGCCAAAACACAACCCCAAGTGGAATAGCGTAAGGCCTCAGGCATCAACCGCCAAGCCCGACAAAAGTTCGAGCGGACGAGTCCCCAGTAACCTCCTCGTCAGACATATCTGCAATTTAGCATTCCCAAAATGATTATACGGAAGCTTTGTATGCGCCAGGGTTAGTTTGGTCCAATTGCCGCTATCATATTTAATGTCTCTGCTAACGACATCCCACAGGCCGCCAGCTCCTTGCTCTGAGCCGTCGAGCCCCGATCTCCAGTCGTTTCCAATCGACATTGCCCGAAACCCCAGTCGAGACATTGCAGACATCTATCAGAGATGAGATATCTCGCCCAGAAAACCCCCTCTTTGAGATGGTGCAGGCGCAATCTGAGGCCAGCACACCCGCACAACAAGAGTTCACATCAGACGAGCCTCAAAGTGAGCCGCGAATATCTTCCCGGAGATTCCTCCAACGCATCAACTAACCTTGTCTTTCTTTTCTTCCCCCAGGAAGCAATTTCAAAAAGCTCGGCACAAGTGTGAAATCCTCCTACGACCCCGAAAATATTATCCGCAACCCTCCCAAGCCATCCCAGATCTCCCTGGAAATGCTGCTCGCAGCAGGAACACACCTGGGCCACTCGACCTCGCGCTGGAACCCACAGAATTCGCGATACATCTTCGGTATCCGCGAGGGAGTGCATATTATCTCGTTGGACGTAACAGCCGCGCACCTCCGCCGCGCCGCAAAAGTCGTTGAGGAAGTCGCTGCACGTGGCGGACTAATCCTCTTCGCCGGCACGCGAAAGGGTCAGAAGCGGGCCGTTGTCAAGGCGGCGTCGCTGGCAAAGGGCTACCACATTTTCGAACGGTGGATTCCGGGCTCTCTGACGAACGGCGAGCAGATTCTCGGCCACTGTGAGACGAAGGTTGTCAACGCGCTGGACGAGGAATTGCCTAGATTCAAGTCTGATCTTGCTGATCGCCCGTCGCTCAAGCCCGATTTGGTGATTTGTCTTAACCCGCTTGAGAATGTTGTCTTGCTGCATGAGTGTGGCCTAAACAATGTTCCTACTATCGGTGTTATTGATACCGATGCGGATCCTACGCGAGTTACTTACCCGATTCCCTCGAACGATGATAGTCTGCGGGCTACTTGTCTTATTGCGGGCATTCTTGGTCGTGCTGGTGAGGCGGGTCAGTTGCGTCGGTTGAAGATGGCACGGGAGGGTCGGACTTCTTACAATCCTATCACAGCCGAGGAGCTGCGTCTTGATCCGTTTACGGGTCAGGCTCCTGGTGGTGAGGGTCAGAAGAAGTAGGGGGGTGCGAGTTGTGTATTCCTTCTGATTGCATTTTCCTTTCATTTTTAGTATCCGGTCGATTGCATTGAAACGACGGGACTCTGTATTGTATAGATGATTCCAGGTCTTGGTGTTGAGATATGTATTAACAACTTTGAGTCAATTTTGGTTCTTTTTTTACTTGAATCTAGCCTGTAACGAGGGGACGATACATCAGTAACAGCTTCTGGAGGGGCTTAAGCCTGTGATCTTCGGTATAGATAGTTGGGCCAAAGATGTGATCTCTCCTTTAATCCCCTCAAAAAATAGCAGGATAAAAGGCATCACTTTGCCGACCTGTTCAACGCCAACTATACACTTACATCAACGCAGACGAGATCTATCGCCTTGGAAGAAAACGGAAAGCAACAAGGTTCACGGTCTTGGTACCATCCACCTCGGAAAACTCGCGGAATCGCTCAAATCCACATTTCAACAGTACCCTCTGGCTTCCACTATTGCTTGCTTCCGTGATAGCGATGAGGCACTCATCCACTACACCTTCTCCAACGACCATTCCTTTCTGAACTCCGACCTCCCGCTCCGTCCGAGGCAATTCTGACCAAAACCGCAGCCAGGAACTCAAGAACTCTGTCGCGATGCCTTTCCCCCAAGCGTCCGTCCGAAGCATGTATCCAACTTCAGGCCACCCATGCGTTCCAGGATACAGATGACAGCCACCGATACCGATAAGCTCGCCCGTTTTCTTCAGGCAGATGGCGCAATTGGCGGTGATAAGATCGTTTGGTGGTAGGAATGCATCCAGTTTGGATTTTGTCTCCTCGAGACTTTCGTCGATACACCCCGCCTTGGTCCATCGCATGACTTCTTCCTGTGTGCGCAAGACGTGTAACTCTTCCAAGTCGGTTGGTTGGAGGGGACGGACGAGTAAGCGATCCGTTGTTATTGCTGCGCGCTCGCTATTTGCGGGGAGCGGGACTGTGGGCAAGAATGCCTTCACAATTACAGATTCTCCCTCTGTGGCCATGTTGATACCTACTTTCAGTGCTGCTTTCCAGAAATACCTGTGTGTGCGGCGCGGTTGAGTCACTAAACCCTGGAATCTATTCTAACCTTGAAAGTGCACTAGTGGGACAAACCCACCTTGGCCTAACTCCGAACTATAATTGGCGTGTTGCTTTGGTACATAAAATGCCGATATTTCTAGGCAATGTGGCCTATTGATCAGAAAGAAAGGCTAGTATGCAATTTATCAAGAGAGATGGAGGACGGACAAGAGATGGTAGACAGAGCGAGATTTATTTGCCCTAACTGTTAAATGTGGGTGCCCCAGGAAATGGTACAAACCCAGTACCATCAATATTTGACCGAACGACGAGCTGATAAAGGTTGTGAATTCTTACTGGAGAATCCCAATTTCATCAACTGGTACCGAGCTTCTGATTCACAGCAGTTGATGATCTTCGGCGATATGGGCAGTGGAAAAAGCTTTGCTATGGCATTTCTTGCGGACGAGCTGGTACGAAGAAGCAAACACCAATTACCTCAGCCCAAGGTCTGCTATTACTATTGCCGGGATGATGAGACTGGGAAAACCGTCTTCATATTATCGGCTATAATTACATCGCTTCCTGGGCAGCTCACGGGTCTGAAGAAGCCATTTGTTCAGTGGTATAAGGAGGCTCAGACTTCTGGGGACTTTGATCCGGCGACAAATTTCAAAACACTGGGAGAGTTCTTATGCAGAGTGCTTGAAGCAATTGATCGCCCGGTCTTTATGGTGATTGATGGCCTGGACGAGTGCAATAGAGAATCCCGAAGTAATCTCCTGACAATATTGCGAAAATTGTCACAGGGGGTTTTGCTGAAAATCATACTGTCTTCCCGTGCAAAGGAGAGATCTTGGAACAGCTTCACGATACGGCTAAGATCGAAATGGTAGCTGACGCTCATAGAGATGGCATTATCGTCGCAAAAGTCGTCGAAAGAAAGTTGTTCGATCTATCGCCGAATGTCAAGTCACTTGTCATCGACAGACTTACTTGTCTAGCAAAAGGAAGCGCTATATGGACAAGGATGACTATTAAGCTGATCTAAACTCGCAAAATCATGGCATTTGATCCGATGAAAAGTTTCTTGGAAGAAATGTCACTCCCCGAACAGCTATTAGAGGTTTACAGCACGTTGCTCTCCTGCTGCTCTTCAAACGATCTCGAAAACCTCAAAATTGCCAGCACCGCGCTCAAGATTCTCGCCATCATTAACCGAAATTTGAGCATACTAGAGCTCTCCTGGGTCGTTGCATTAGGTACGACTCAACATGTCACTACCGTAGATGCTCTTGCCAAGCTGGTGGATCACCAGAGAGTAATGAGGTTAATTCACCAGTTCATTGCCCATGTCGAGTTCAGAGACGTAAGGAAGCACCAGGTTCGACTCGTGCACCAGTCGGTGAAGGAGTTTGTACTGAAGAATTTCGTCTCGAATCAGCCATGGCGACACGGCCCAATCTCAAGAGAACCCGATGATATGATTCTTGACCAGCGCTATGAAAGTCTGCAGGCATTTATTCTTGATATTTGCGCCAGGTATCTTCTTCTTGAAGACATTGGCAGAAGAACTCTGTTCTCCGAGGAGCTTGTGGCAATTGCGGAGCTACCCCAAGGATCCGATATATTCAATGATAACGAAGGGTCGATTGAGTATGACGGACATTGCACATGGGATGCCTGGGAGGAGGATATGATCAATTTTGATCCCACTGATCGCGGCTTTAGAGAGTTCTTTGTCTACGCATCATGCCATTGGTTGAATCACTTCTGCACCATTACAGCTGAACATATTCCAAGTCTAGAAACCATAGAGAAGATATGCCAAGCGGGCTCCACTCGATTGAGCAATTGGATCCAACAAAACTGCCGCCCAGGCTGCACGTTAACGCCAAGATTTGAGTTTGAAAGCAGTCTGTACGATCCTCTCAGTATCACTTCGCTTTATGGCTCAGTGGCAATGCTACGAGATATGCTTGAAAACTCATCCTTCGACAAGAACGGTTTTCTCGAACAGTCAGCTATGAGAGCTGCTCATGAGATTTTCCGATGAGGGAACGTATCAAGCTTGGAATCATCTTCTTCGGTGATCGACTTGGTCATCACCTACGACATCTTGACTTTTTCCGACTTATCATCAAATGGTGGTGCAACCGCACTCTCACCGACCACTAATGCGATCTTGTATTTGATCTTGTCAATGGTGTGTCAAATCAAATGGTCCAGGAACAATGGGGAAATGAACTTCTGTGCATAGCTGCTAGTGCAGGCTGCATGCAATCGAGACAGAATGCACGGTTGCACTGTTAAATAGCCCTTCTCATCGGAATGAGAGGTTAACAGCACGTGGATAATTGGAGGTTATAACCTTGGAATCTAGTCGGGATTTTGTTAGATTTCTCACAGGATATGTCATCTTATTTACTTGCCGTGATGAACCCTATAGTAAGTGGATGGATGCAAATGCCAACGTCTGACTTGGCGGGTAAAATTCTCCTGGAAGTCCACCGGGGCACATTGGGGTAATTGACTTTTGTTCGAACGGGCTTCCTTAGGCCTGTGTTTTAAAGTTCAATGCGGCTCTACAATTTCCATGGGTATACAAGTTCCAACCTTGGAAAAGCTTTTAAGCTTATTTTTCCAACTCAACCTTTATGACTTCCAGCTGTTCTTTGTTTATTGGATTTCTTTCTCTTTGCATTGTTCTCTTTGGCTTCGTAGTCTTTGCGTAGCCTTCATTGCATTGAGAGTTTTCTTTGAACTCCAAGCCGTCTCAACTCTCAACTATATAAAACCCAACACTGGCCACCGTTAAATTCCGTGAGAAGGACATACTATACCTAGATGTAATAGTTACCTAGCGTCTTTATAGACTCTTCTATTATCTCATTTCATCCAGCCCTTTAACCATTTTCACAAAGCAGAATGGACGACAATTACCCTCTGTGGGAAAAGAAGGGAAGAAGCCTACAGAAATGGATCGAGAACTACCGTGCAGCGGGTTGCCCGTACTCCATTTCCACTTTCAATCTGAAGCCCAGACATCCGGACTATACCGTCGATCGCACATCTGTGCATCTAGACGCAAAATTATTGACCGCGCTTAACATGAGCAACGCGAATTCCACCTGTCGAAAAATTAGCATTAGGCAGCGTGACGAAGGTCCGCCAGTGTGGTGGATTGGGCGCACTGGACCAGGTGTGATCTTGATTGACGATATCTTTAAGTCCAAGAGAAGCGACGATCCATATATATCCGAGTTCACCAAGGCAGCCTACAAACTGGACTTCCCCTTGGACAGTCTGAAGAATGTAATTGTTCCCAATGTAAACGAAGTGAACACCATTTCGTGTATCAAAAAGGTGTACAAATCCCGCGAAGGACTTCGTTATCCATCCAGCACACAGCAGGCTTGGGAGCCGTCCTCGTCCGAGTTCCATGCTCTGCTAGGAACTGGAATCGGCAAAATCATTGCAGCGTTCGTTCTGTGTGCATGGGGCCAAGGGAGAAAGCGAATTGTGAGAATTGTTACTTTCCACATTGGTGCCGACGTTCACAAGCTGTATATGCGGTTCGATCTGGATGATATGTGAGAATTTCTTCCTTGCTTTCGTTGGCCATCTGATCGTTTTGAATGTTTACCTTGAGGTGAGTAGGTAGAATAAATTGTCTGTGAGAGTTTCTTTAATCGCATTTATATCTAGGAATTGGCAATTTCCGATTTCGACCTAATACATCTCTGACAAGGCGTGATTTTTACAGCAGCGCTTCAGAGCGACTAATATAGAAAAAGGTGCAGATATCTGAGTCGGATATCATGATATCATGATCATAAGGCAGCTGGAATTTCAGACGAAAACAAAACAATAGTATGTAAACACACGGAGACCGCGGCCTCAAATGCCGGAAATGACCATATTTCTAGCACATACAACGAAAATCCCAATATGGCACCCATCGCTGCGATTGCAAAATTGTTCTGGTTTCAATCCACTCAAGGAAATATCCCAATCCGTATCTCATTAAGGCATATGATCTTCATAAAATCATCAAAAACACCCGGCGTAAAAGAAAAAGGAAAGCCGATCGTATAAAATCAAATCAAACGACATAAGGCGCAGGTCTGCTGCGACTGGAGCTGCGATGACGCGAGTGTGAGCCAGAGCCATGACCACGACGACTAGAATGACTGCGTCTCCGAACAATCGTCTCCTTAACAACCGGGCGATGCGAATGGTACAAGAACAGCGCAAGCAGCGCAGTCCAGAAGAAGAATATCGTCTCCATGATACCAAGTGCGAAGCAAGCCTTCAGCATAGCGCAGGTCTTGTTGACGTCCAGCGACAGCGGATTATTTGTGCTCTGGCCATAGGAGCCGAATGGACCCAGAGAGATCCAGACGGAGCCGCCATGCCAGCTGGCACAGTTGGCGTTGGTGATAAAACGGAGCTCGTAGACGGCTGCAATAAAGGCGCCGACGAAGAGCAGGTCCATGAACGCGACGAAGATTGCGGATCGCTTTGTTGTTGAGAAGCGGATTAGCGTGTCGATGGCCCAGAAGACGGCGATTACGCTGACGATGAAGAGGACCAGGATATATGGTGGGGTCAGCAGGTTTGCTTTCAGATAGCCGTTCACGAAGTAGGCCTATATTCAGAGACATCATTAGCGGGAGACTCGGAGGGGTATTGCTGATCGGACTGGTTAACAGTGGACATACCAGCATGCCAATGATTGGAATCAGGAAGACGATCTCAACCAGGCGATTGAATATGAAGAACACGCTGCCAATCATCTTGACGGTTCAAAGAGAGATTGGGTTTCAGATCTTTGGAATGTGCAACTGTCCCGACGTGCTTGGGGTATGTCCGAGGCGCCGTAACAAGATCGTGGGGCTACACGAGCTTGCGAAAAAAAGCACAGGCAGTTGCGATTACAGTGCAGGATGCACGTTTTAGAAGACGCAGAAGGATAACAGAAGAGAAAGTAAAAAGGAAAAGGAAAATAGACAGAATAAAGAGGAAATCAAAAAAAAAGATATTCAGCGTCATCTTGGGCCGAGGAGGCTGGGCGACTCACAACGCACGATGTCGGTGGCTGGGGTATCCCGAGTCCTCCATGATGGGTCTCGGCATCTTTGATATATTGATTAGTCTAAGAACCTGCATGAGCAGTCACTTTTGATCCACGCCTTGCATTTGATTACTCCGTATCCCTCGGGATGATAGGTTAGGGCATGAGAATATAGATGATCGTTGTCAAGCCAACCACATAAGTGGAGACTTTACGGGGAACTACTGGACTGGACTTCATTGCACTTGGAAATTGCATAGAATACTATTTCTGTTTGAAGAGATAGAGGACTCTTGTTAAATTCATGCTTGGTCGAGGCAACAAATTCAGGTTCTTTGTTTCCAGTGCCAACACGCTCATAATCATATTAGTACAGAGTTGTATCACCGGCCACCGCAATAATCCATGGCTTCATCAAATCATAAGCAAATAACTTGGGCAATTACCGCTCTGAACTAGACTGCAAATCATCAATGACCCCGTCATTCATGTTTACATGGGGATGTTCGTCAACGGACGCCCCGGACCCGCCATCGCGTCAGGGACATGGATTCCCGCATTGGCCGTCAGCGGCTGTGTCTGCGACACATATGCATTACTGGGGTCATATTGATGCGCATTGTGGTCGGGGCCGGGATTCTGCCCCATCGTATGACCATGTCGCATTTCATACCCGCTGCTAAGGTCGTCCTCACTCGACGACCAAGCACCGCCGTCAAGATCAAGGTCGTGTGGTCGGCGATTGTAAACATTCGATGGATACGGGTTGGAGGCATGAATATAGGTAGAGGTGTCGGGTCGGGCATGTTCCGATCTGGGGATATCTGGCGGGTCCATGCGCTCTTCTTCGGGGTTGCGGAGAGCAGTCGAGCTATCTTGCCTGAAGCCCTTGAGTCGAACTGTCTCCGGTCCTGAAGGTTCGGTCCCCCAGGTTCGGATTGGGTAGGCGCGGCCCTTGCGCCAGGGTTCGGTGAGCGGTGGGAAATACTGGCGATATGCGACAAAGCCGCAGACGATTCCAAGCATCGACCCCGTAATCACATCGAAGGGGTGGTGACGCGCGTCCATGATACGCGATACGGCCACGAGGGTTGCAGCTAGTAGAGGAGCCATGATGACAAGGGATTTCCAGGCCTCACCGCGATTGTCCATAACGTGCAACTTCCCACCTAGCCAGAGCGATATGTAGACGAGACCGGCGAAGGAGGCTATTGATCGGACTGTGTTAGTAATATGAAAGACTAGGAGAATCGCAAAAGGTATACACACAACTACTGTGACCTGGATGAATTTTTAAGGTTAGCACGTGCGACTCTGAAAAGCAGTACTGGGTCATATCGCATACCAGATGGCCACGACCGAAACCCGTCTGTTAACAACGCGGGATCACCGGTACAAATCGTTGAGTTTGACAATCCTGGGAAAAGGTCTTTGCTACCAGCGCGTGGTTGACAACGATCAATAAGATCAGGTCTCGGTTTGCCGCATGCGTTCTTCAGCGCCTGTGTAATGACGAACGCGAGTCCCTGAGCCAGCAACAGACCCAAAATACCACAATTGAGCTCCCAAAGTCTGTCCTTCCAGCGATGCGGACCTCTTAGCTTCCGCTTCCCAGACGCCGCGTCATGTGGCTTATGGTGCGAAAACAAGCCATCGATAAACAAGGTGTAGAGGATGATGAGAACGAGTGGGAAAGCACCGGAGATGCAGAGGGCGTAAGGCATGGGAATACGTTCATGTACGGCGTAAGGATATTGGATGGAGATGTTGGTGAGGGAGAAGTGTTGGTGGAAGGGCTCGATCGTGTTGAGAATGGCGAAGCCGGCAACGCAGGCACTATTTCCATGGTTAGTACGGAGTAAAGAGAGGAATTGATGCACGTACATAATGATCACATAGTCAAAGATGTAGCTGTGGAATTGTTAGTTGGATTTGCGGGGAGACCTGGGGAAAGTCGACACACGAGATAACAACACGCGGTCGCAGCCGCCGCTTGGAGAAGGGGAGTTTTGCGGGGATTTCCATGCTGACTCCAAGGCTTCCCCAGGAAATTCGAAAATTGGAGAAGATCAGAAGACCAGAGGATCAAAAGGCCTGGGAGAAAATAAACATATCTGCCTAGTCCAGGGCATTGCTTGGCATCGGCATGAATAGCACCTGGCGGCTTTCGTTCTGATTGGCCGTCGCAAAGTGGCTGAGCTTGTGGGACCTCAGGGCGGGCTATGTATACTTCGATATCCACTTGGACATTAATACCTAGTACGGGTACTGCTATATCAGGTTCAATAGACAGCTAGCGGCCCAAATTCTCATCCCAGTTCGATATGGGGTAGTGGTTAACCTAGCGGATTTTCAGTATCTGACCTCCGCGGCCCCGGGTTCGATTCCCGGTATCGAAGTTCTTTTTTTCTTTCCAACCTGTTTAGTACGGAGTATGCTGTGGACAACTATTTCGACGGCATTGTATGCGTGAAAGATGTACCTAGTTTTTGTTGCCCAGCCGACAAATAGATCCACATAGTTATACATATTCTCTGTGGTAATCTACTTAAAACGGAAGGAGTGAATTCATATACTAATACACAAGCTGAAGGGACGCTGACGCTATGTGCATGCGTCTAACTTTCAAGATCAACCAGAAATGGCCATATTTTCAAATTCACCAAATAGACGGTTAGCTTTTGAGAAAGACTACTTCCGTATAGACACAGGACCATCAAAATCCGAAAACGAGAAGAGAAAAATATCAACTACATATCGACGTGAAAGAGGCGTCAATGGAAGTTTACAAGGCATAAGAAATGGCCCTAGGAATCACATGTCTATAGTCGTAAACAGCCAAATTGCACAGATTCCGCATTTAGCAAGTGGTGATGAACAGGCCGAGACTGAAAGTGCTGTTAGCTGATATACAGGCAAAAGGGAAAGCGACGAGAAAACTTACGGAGAGGGGTTCCAGTCCTCGAAGAAGTTGAAGTCGGTGCTACCAGCATTCTTCATCTCATAGGTAACAGACTGGCCAGCCGGGCAAGAGAAGGTAGAGACAACGTATGAGTTGCCCGGGGAGACAGTGATAGTACCGAGGTCCTGGGACACCGAGGGCACGTTACTAAAGGAGGTTGAGGAATCGGCAGGGGAAGAGAGCTGAGCGAAGTCGATCCTGCCATCCCCATTAAAGGTGTAAGACGAAGTCTCGAGCTGGTCAAGCCTAGGGAAAAGGAACACGAGGCTGCAGGTCTTCCCAGAGTCGGAATTTGGGATGTCGAAGTTGAACACGGTCGAGGTGGTCGAGGTCACGCTGCCGTTAAGCCCAGTTCCAGCAGGGGTATCAGGTGAGGACGAGTCGACAGGAACAATAAGGTGAGGGATCTCATAGTTGCCCGAGAGGGTAGTGGGACAACCACCGCCGGAGGTCCCAGTGGTCGATGCGGTAGGAGAGGTAGGGCTAGCGGAGCTAGTGGGATGAGGGGCACCACCGGAGGTAGCGGGGACGGAAGCTGACCCAGTGGGACGTGGGCTACCAGTGGGGGGAGGCACGGTAGCAGAGCCACCAGGGTGCGAACCACCACTACCTCCGCCACCGCCGGGGGAAGTTGCACTAGGAGAGGTCCCAGGCTGCGAACTACCGCCAGTATGAGCAGGTACGGTAGCCGAGCCACCAGGGTGTGAACCACCACCGCCGGGGAAAGGAGGCACACTAACAGAGATACCTCCACCGCCTCCGCCCCCGCCGCCAGGGGAAGGTGCACTAGGAGAGGCGCCAGGCTGCGATTCACCACCGCCAGTGGGAGCAGGCACGGTAGCAGAGCCACCAGGGTGCGAACCACCGCCGCCGCCACCGCCGGGGGAGGGTGCACTAGGAGAGGCACCAGGCTGCGATTCACCACCACCACCGCCGCCGCCGGGAGAGGGATGTGTTACTGTAACAGTAATAGGGGGCTGCGGCCCGGCACCACCACCGCCGCCGCCGGGAGCAGGCTGTGTCACCGTAACAGTAACAGAGGGCTGCGGCCCGGCACCACCAGGAGCTCCTGGACCACCGGAGGTAGGGCAGCTGCAGTCAGTGACAGTGACCGTGGTCGTGGCAGTGTGAGAACCGGTACCAGGAGCAGGGCCAGGCGCAGGACCAGGGGCGGGACCAGGACCAGCGCCACCCCCTCCAGGGCCACCACCACCAGGACCAGGAGCGGGACCAGGAGCAGGGCCAGGGGCGGGACCAGGGGCGGGACCAGGACCAGGACCAGGGCCAGTGCCACCACCTCCAGGGCCAGCGGGACCAGGCGCAGGACTAGGACTAGGAGCTGGGCTAGAACCAGGACCAGGACCACCAGTGCCCGAGCAGGAGTCGGCAGACATTTGCACATTCACACATCCAGTGACATCCATCTTGTTAGGGGTAGTGTAGACATTCATACCAGCGTTCTCGCCCGTAGCACATGCAATGAAGTCAGGGCTGTTATGGTACTCAAGTTTACCCTGGGAGTTGACAGAGAAACCGGGTGTAGCAGTCACACCCTCATCACACTGGAGTTGAGTAGTGGGAGCTGTCATATCATCAGATGCATGTCCTTAAGTAGTTGATATATAGGGCATTGATTAATTCACTTACGAGTGAGGATGCACCCACGGCCGCTGGAGTCAGTAATGCTGCCATTGGCATCGATGCAGTACTGTGCGGGTTGCAGATTACTATCGCCAATACGGTTCTGGCCATCACCTAGCTGGCCAAGTGTACCGGAGGCACCGCCGGAGGAAGTAAGGTGAAAGCAGCAGCTATCAGCGCGGCCAACGAGGGCGTTAGAGCCCGCAGCAAAGACAGCGACGGCAATGATGTTCCTCATGGTTGCTGTTCAGCGAATATGAATAGGCTGATCAGCTAGTGAATGAACACGGCACCCCTTCTTAAGAAGATCGCGAGCAATTGAACGACCTGACAATATATACCGGTAGAGTTGTGCAGGTGGCTTGGGTTGAGGGAGCAAGGTTTTGGGGAGAGTGCATCTTTATAGGCAGCAGTGGGGGTTACGATTCAAACAGAATATAACATCAGGGCACACATGGCCGGCAAAAGTCCCCGAGATCAAACACAGAGAAGTTGCATGTTGTCAGCCATTCATGCCAATGACCGTGGGGAAGAACTCCGATGGACCAGTACCCTGGTTTCGGAGAGTAGACAATAGTAGGTCCGAACCAGCCGGAGCGAGATGCGTAGGAACATCCACAAACGTCATGTTGAACAGAGACCCAATTGATTGAGGTGTAAAGAAATAGAGTATGAGGATATGCTTGTTTCTCCACTTTAAAGCAGGATCTGAAGACATGGACAATGGTCACTGGCCGGGTATGAGAGGGATGTAGACTCAATGTTTTGCTAACGCCCAGGCAACCCGATTGAAAGTGGCAATATGAATCTTCCCATAGATGACTGCTAATTTGAGTGCTCCAAGAGGCTCAAGCCATTCAATTGAGTTCCATTGTTGTTATTAGGCAGTTGAGAGTATATTCGTCACGATACTCATCTCATGCTCTAGTTTCTGATCCAGTAGCTAGTAATATCGTACATATAGACAGTTATATGATCCTAGTATTGCATCGAACTTCTCCAAAACAAGAAATAACAATCATTTGATAGGGCTAGTCGTCATTGACAACTGTGGATCTTTGTGCCATACATATAGAATATAGTACATTGCATCCTTCAGGTCATAGAGTTAAAGCAAAATTGTGATACATATAAAGGATGGCTGCTATGTTGTACAAAACCTGGACTTGTGTAGCAAAGTATAGAGGCACTAGTACAGCATCAATCACTTCATTCATAAGTATGATGAAAGACGAAAATCGAATAGAAGACACCGAGAGATTGGATCGGATTGTCCACGGGTGTCATCATTAAACAATATGGAAGTGGACCCCCGAATTGGACCCGACCAACAACGCCCTACTATTTTTATATCATTCAACCATGGCACATTTATATACAGTCTGATTTTGGAATTATTAGCCGCCTCATACCATTTGCTCTGACTGTTCTGCGCATATTTCATATGACTGAGTCTTTTCCACAGTGAAGGTTTATCATACTACAGCGACGCATGTCTCTACTGTCTCTATTCATCGCATATCCGACGAGGCTCCCAATCTAGGATTCATTCATCGTGTCACATTTCTAATACAATATATTGTTACACAGGGAGCAAGATATGGATGTGTTCAGGAACCAAGCAAAGTCACTCCTAATGCAACCCGATCAATCGATCGCAAAGCTGCATCGCTGCCGCATAGGTTTGATATCATGATACAGATTTGTGATGTCGGACAAGGTTAAGATTGAAATGGCGGATTTACAATACATAGTAAGCTACTGCTTTCATTAACCTCATCTTGTTATTATACCGTAGCGTACGGAATATGTTTCTTCGCTGATCGCCTCCACCCGTTAGTATTGTACATATGCCGGGCAAGTTTAAACCGACGGGCCGTGTCGATCTCAATGTGAGAGTGACTGGGTAGCTAAGTGGGGCTTAATGAACTAGAGTATTTTACAAATGACGAGTCTTCATGCGTCATAATGTCGTGAATTTCAAATCCCAGTGCCGAGACCTGTCGATAATTACTACTAATGCTACATAGACAGAAATGCAGTATCCGACTCGGCAAAGAGGCTGTTCCAGTCCACAGCCCCTGAGTCCACATTTTCATCGAAAACCTGCCAGAGGTCATCTAGAGTAGGCAATGCGGGGTCCATTAGAAGCTCATCGAAGCTTCTGCCTGTTGGATATGCTGTGCTTGTAGGTGCTGGAGAGGCACAGACAAGGCCTGAAGAAGCCCCAGGGCCTTGAGCGGTGGATTGAGTTATTGTGTTTTCTTCAACAGCCGAGCCCGAAGCACTGTGCCGACGGAGAGCCGTTTTAAGGGATTCAAGCAGCCTTCCTGCAAAAGGGAGTTCCTCTTTAGCCCTTTCTAGAATTGAAAATGCTTCCAAAATTTCCGTTTCCTATTCCTGCCGGTGATCACTCCCAGAAAAGTCTATGAGGAGAACAATGATCGCCACACAGACGGAATATAGTAAGCCTGGAAGTCTTAGCCGCATTGTCGCAAAGGGGACCACCTCTAGTGAGAGTTGGCGTTCGGTACGAATCACCATTCGAGCTGCTTCCAGGCATGCTCTCCGTGAGTAATTGTATGTAGGATCTTTAGACGCTCGCGACAAATAAGGCAAGTGAAGCCTGCATCTTTGGGCATGAAGCAGAAAATTGATGATGTATCGTTGTATGATTATTCCGGGAGATCTCCAAGGATCGGTGTTTGGAAGCTCGTCCGACCGATAGTCTAACGAAAAGAACGAGGGTAGACTCTCTGCGAATTCACAAATCTTGCCATCAATCTGTTTCGTGTGCTCATAGTCCGGGCTTCCTGGATCTGAAATTCCAAACGGAGCACAATCTGTGATTTCGCGGCAAAATTCGCCCAATCGAATCCGTTGGAGACAGTACGACATCGATGTTGGGTCGGTGAGTGGCTTTCCAACTCCGACCATCCCGTCCACAATATCTTCATCATTCGCATTGCAAGGTTTGTTGGTCATCATGTGGCGTGGATCAATTGAATATGTGCCCTTTTGCGAACCAGATAGTTGCGACATCTGCCTATTATCTGTGAACTCGCATTCTTGGAAGAATAAGAGGGGGAGGAGGAATACTCACCAATCAGTCGCCACGAGATACCACCACACTCTTCTACATATCTCTGCTTTCGCAGAGGATGGCGAAGGCATATCTAGATGGGAATTGTATGGATGATCGATCCGATGCAAGGAAAGTTCTCTTCCAAACGAGATGGCAGTGGAAACCATATGTCGAGCTTGGGGGGTAATCCCCACGATGTTAGCAGTCACAAATATGAGAATGATCATCGCTTGGATATCCTCTATGGATTCGAAGTGTTTGTAACGCGAGTAATCGACCATCTCCGACGCAAGTCTCATCCAATGTGTAGACTGCGCAACTGCTTCTTCAACGGTCGAAAATATGGAGTTGCACATGTCACGTTCAGCCCAGAGCGACGTGGTACTGGCGAGAATGCCGAGGAGCAACGAAACGTGCCCAATCTTGACTGGCTTGCTTTCTCTCAGATTACAATAGAGTTCCTCTACCATGGTATGCACTGAGGGGATATGAACCACATGATGGAGGAAAGTGATCTCTGTGATGTACTTTTCCACTATTATCTTCGTTTCGTCGTGGAGTGGCAGCCAGATACATCTTTTCATGGGTTGAGCTTTATGTACGATTGGTTCAGATCCCACTGCATTACGGATGGGGCAAGTTCTGAATTCAATCTCATACTTGAAAATATTACCCTGTACACTCTTGTCAGTCGATTTCCCATGATTTTAATTTGATCGAGGCCTACCAGTGAGCCTAACGATGATATCTCGCCTTCAAGCCAATTTACCGCCGATGTGGATGACTGGCTTTCATGAATCATGGATGATTGATTCGATTTTGGGGTAGGAGGAGAATGGAGTGACGAAGCCTGGGTAGTATCTTGTGCCATGGGACTAGATGCTGGTCCATTGGTGATCACTATCTCCTCCAACCTCCGCAAGCGGACCAGTATATCTGCATGATAATTGCTAGGCAATTTATCAGTCTGACTCTGAGGACTGGAAGGCAATGCTGTAGTGGGATAGAGCTGACAAGTCTTGCCCCGACTAGTGCAGTTGGAGCAAGGGAATTGCCGGCTACACTTGAGCTTCCTTGATCGACAGAAATGGCAAGATACCGGTCGCGAGCGTGAAGATCTAACACGCTGTTTCTCGACTCCATGCATTTTGTTCCGAATATTGTTGAGGCAGTGTTCGTTGAGCTCTAGATGTGGCGAGATGCCATTACGGAGTCGACCAATCAAATGCCGGTGAATCCGCGGAAGTTCCGTGCCTCCGCGGATTTCTTACTATGGGAACTATGTGAGAGACACGAGGTATATAAGAGCCTCTCTACACTAGAAAATCCATATTAACTCATCATCCTTCTGTTTCTTCTACAACATAGAATCTTCTTATCTCATTTGTGTCAATATGGACTCCATCATTGCTCAGATCCGAGCTCTTGCCCAAACCACCGATGAAGCTGGTCGGTTGGACATGATTCAGTCCCTCACACGATTGAAAATTGAGCTTCAATCTCCAAAAGATGTCATAATGGAACTGGCAGTACCGGTCGGTGGGCACACAATGCAATTTGGGGATACCGGAAGTGCTGACAGTTGTAGGGATCGACGAGTGCGATGCTCCGAATTTGTGCAGATCTGGGACTCCTTCGCTCTCTCGCGAGAAGTGATGCACCCTTGACTGTCACGCAAATTGCGGAGCTGACTGGAGCGTCTCCTCTATTACTAGGTAATGTTATCTGAGACGACCGTACTTACTTTGAATTCTAAAACAATTGTTCTGTTCAGAGAGAATTCTTCGGTACCTAGCCGCAACAGACATGATTCAAGAGACGGGGGTCAATGAATATTCTGCAAACAAGGTCACTCATGTCTTGGCTGATCCTAAGGGCGAGGCCATGGTATACCACGGGTAGGCTACATAGTCGCCTCCATCTAGCAAACATCCCTGCTTACCAGCCTTCTCATTAGATACGACACGATGGGACCTGTGTTGCAAGCAATGCCTGCATTCTTCGCTGAAAACAACTATCAAGATGTCACCGACAATACCAATACTCCGTTCCAGAAAGCCCACAACACGAAACTCACCTCGTTCGAGTGGCTTATCCAGCAGCCAAAGCAGTTCGAGCACCTGCAAAAGATCATGACTGCACTTCAAGGATCAGAATGGACCGAGGGGTTCAAACTTCTTGATGATGAAGCCCGCAAGGTTCCATCCAAGGTTTCACCCACTGACCCACAGCCTTCGGAGAAACCCTTCTTCGTCGACGTTGGTGGCGGCCATGGCCACCAATGCATTGAGCTTGGAAAGAAGTATCCCAACCTCCTAGGCTACCTTGTTCTCCAGGACTTGCCAGCGGCAGTGCAGAATCTCCCTCCAATTGACGGCGTGAAGGCCGAGGCTTATGACTTTTTCCAACCGCAGCCCATCATTGGTTTGTCTCCATCTATCCATTGGATAATATCAAACTGACTTTCCTTCAATTCAGGCGCCAAGTTCTACTACCTCCGCAGAATCATGCATGATTGGCCCGATGACAAAGCTGCAAGCATCCTGCGCAATATTCGCGCTGCCATGGGCCCCGACTCGCGGGTGTTGATCGATGAAGCCGTGTTGCCGGATACTGGCGCTGACTGGCAATCGGCCATGGCCGATCTTGCAATGATGACCTTTGCGGGTAAAGAGCGGACCAAGCATCAGTGGGAGTCACTTGCAGAAAGTGCGGGCTTGCGTGTGGAACAGATTCATACTTATGTTGCTTCAACTCATACCGCTCTTCTCGTTTTGGCCGCCAAGTGAGACAGACATGGCCTAGAGCGGAAATTTGGACTTATCTAGCAAGTTATTTTATCACTCTTCTCTCTTCATTTATGTCACGCTATCACTCCGAACGTAAATCTTTTTTGAGATCGATGAATTTCTACTGTGCGATTCGTAGGGTTGTGTCGACACTAGAGGTAGGCCTTGACTTCGCTGAAGAGCTTGGGCAGACGAAGAGCTCACCTTGAGCTGATTCGACATTCGCACGATTTGGTGGTCTGTGACGCGGTTATGGATGTGTGGATGGGTATTTAAGATGAGGCGTGGCGGACTGAACACGCCTAAGAACTGGTAAATCTAAGTCAAGTGCATTATATGATCTCCATTCCCCACCTATATTGGATGCTGTAGATACATTGATAGCAAGGACCCGGCATATATTTATAGAGCAATATTCTTTGCTAGCCACCTAAATTCAAAACGCCTTGCTAGCCGAGTAGATAACACAAAATGGTAAAGTCGCTGGGGGAGGAAGAGGACAAAATATAATGAGTGAAAGAGAGGACTAGAGCCTCCGAGACTAATGCGGATACAGGTCGTGAATCATGTGCGTGCCGAGCGATATATTATGGGTTCTTGATAGGGTCCACTCAATGGCTGCTTTCAGAGGTGGTCGAATCATGGAGTATGGGTGGTGGACCACGGGTGGTAGTCGTACGGGTGGTAATCGCCGATTCTGCTGACACCATTCGGATTCCCGGCGTCCGCTCTGTCGGCGTTGGAGGTTCATCATTGTTGGTACTTTGGAATTGCGACTGAGTCGGCGTCACCGGAGAGGCAGCCACGGGATTGGGCACATCGATGTGGATCGAAGACGAGCGGTCGATAGGTGGGAGCTGTTGCGGCTGTTCAGTCTGCTCCACAACAGGACTTTGATATGCAGGGGCGTCACCCCAGTCCAAGTACTCGTAATCGGGAGGCGGAGGGATATTGAGCATCCCCAGATCTCCATCGTCGGGTTGTGTTCCTAGTCGGCCCGAGTCGTGTGTCGTGGTCGCAGCCAGGGTTAGTCGTTCAAGCTCAGTAGAATTCTGCGATTCGCTGATCGACGAAGAAACGGATTGGCCTCGGCCGGATGGTTCGAAGGATTGCGCGGAGTCACTTTGCAATAGCGGTCGGCTGTCCGAATCGTTCATGTCAGAATTGTGCGAGTCAGCTCGAAGTCGTGATCCATCGTGGCGAACACGTCCAATTTCAGCATAGCTAACGCTAGCGATGCGTCGGTCCCGCTCTCTCTGATTCTCGGTCAGGACCGTGGATACGTCGACTGCACTGTTGGTTCCTGCACGGCGACGTTCCGTCCGAGCTCGAGTCTCGGCATTGAGCTGCTCAAGGCGAGCAAAATCCCCCCGCGACCGAGCTTCTCGTCGCTCCCGACGGCGCGTTTCGCGATCGGCTAGTTCCTGACGGCGCTGCAGGCGTATCTGGTACATCGACTCCATCTGTTCCTCCCGGCGAGTTTCCTGTTCCTCTGCAGTCTCCGGGTATTCCACGACCATATCCATCCCACCACGTTCACCCTCTCGGGCGATAACTTGTTCGGTCGGCTTCGGGCTTTGGGAATAAGGTGGGAGGGTCATAATCGAACGGATCGAGGTATCGCGGCGGACGCCATCAGTGGTCTGCATCTCCGGTGCTGCAGCCGCTCCACGATAAGAGGTATTTTGGCCAGTTCTTTGATTCGGAACCTGGCCGTATGATGCACTTCCTGGGCCCCATTTTTTCCATTTCTGCTTGAGGTATTTTCCCGGAAGGTATTTCGGTTCGTAGTGATGTTGTCGCATATAACGGAACAGGAAGTAGACGCCCACACAGACCGCGACTGCAAATATGACGGTCACGCAACACTAAGAGAACAAGGTCAGCGTTAGGGGAAGAGGTCGGAAGGGTCGGAAATGACATACAATAATAACTATGTTGTTCTTATTCGAGTCATTTTGACGTTTTTGTGGAATGTACATAATTGTTGGACAGGCAACTGAGCCTAGAGATTCTTAATGGAAGGCATAGAACAAAATCCCCGGATTTCAAGAGAGTCGAAGAATGAGAAAAAAAGACAAAGCGCGTCAGCCTCGGAGGGTCTCAGAGGTGGCTGGCTATTATTATACGCCAAGCAATGAAACGTTGGCGTGGCCCTGGTGTGGAGGCTGGACAACTTCGGCCTGTCCTGAAATCAAATTCTTCTTTGTAATTTACAAAGTGGCGATGCAGTTCTCTGCACTTCTCGAGCATTATTATGGATTCATATCCTGGCCCTAATCCTTGTTTTGACTCGTTTCCCCGGCGATCATTCTGCGGCAGATCCCTAGCCGTTTTAGCCTGGGATCCTTTATCATCTTGAATTATTTATTGACTTGGATCTCATTATTGACTTTCGATCGTGGGAGAAGAACTGCACGAGTCCCTTGGGTGCAAGGGAAGACCTTATACAAAAATAGATACGCCCCTTGGGTTCGGAAGCAACCGGTATGAGATCGTGCTGAGCATCATATCTCGATCGCGAATCGTCAATCTCCCACCGTTAGGGTTCATTAGGGCCTGCTAATCCTCGAACAATGAGAATCACCTCGCTAACCTCGGCCTAGATTGTGAGATGCGAATGAGGGGAGTATTATGGTCGAGACATTGCTCCTAGCTCTTCGTGCCCTTTCTGAAACACTCCCCTTCATAGGTCGGTCATCTCCACTACCTGTTATCCACAGGCTCCCATTGGCCTGTAGATCTATGAATTGGTCGTGAATCCAAGGAAAGCACCTAACCTTTCAGTGCCACGAGAATTGCCGTCCCAAATTTGTCCGGTGGTTCATCTATTTTGGGAACACTGATATGGACGACAGCGGATGGCTTCAGTGTGCCATATTTCTGCGCGGCTTTGCCCCATCGCGGTTGATGTTCATTATGGCCCGTGCCACAAAGGAATTATGATAGTGTCCTCGGATTATCATGTTGTGTCGCTTGGTCCAGATCATGACGTGGTGCTCAAAGTATAAGATCAGCAACGACATTGTCCGGGAATATTGTAATGCTCCAATCGACGGGCTGCTCAACACTTATTGGTCGGCTATCATATATCCCTCGATATCTCTGGTGGCTGTACTATGTGCTTGCAGCGGCCAGTGAGGCGCAGTAAATGGCAGATAGGCTACAGCCGTGGAGGGGGGTGAGAATGTGAGAATCTTGGCGAATCTTCACCTAAGAAGGCTTAAGTCTTTTCTAAGTCCCAGTGACACTTCCTTATCATCATTTTGAAATGACCATTGTTCCTTCTGTTATATATAACAGAGACAATTCAGGATATCCCGTGATCAATGGAAGAGCCGTCTTACTCTCACAGTGATAAGGTGTGGGAAACGATTGTCAGGCCCTAACTTCTAATGTTACGCAAAGTGTGACTGTAGAAGCTTTTGGGGAAGATAATAAGGTTCATTCTCTAGCTACAGACATGCTCGAGAGGCCCACGTGACCGTATAGTCCCAGTCTAGCCCAATTAGGCCTAGTCTATATTTATTCTGCCGGTTATATTATTCTGCCAAAGTTAGCCGATGACATCTCACCGCATTGAAACCCATGGCCATAGGGGTTGAGGCCGATTTAGGCTTCTCTTGGTCTCCGTCTGAATCGTGTTCGATGGCAAATGTTCTGCTATATGAGCGCAGCGTGAAAGTCTTTGGAGACTGGGGAGTGTAGCTCCCATCTGAAATATTGAGTAATCACAGAGATGTTTTACCATGTTTTACCATGTTTTGGAATTTCTCTTTCAGGTTGTTTACAGATGTGAGCCCAGGGGATGCTCTTGAAAATCCTCGTTCTTTTCCCAGACTCCAATACCCTCGCTTAAGTCAAAACCACACCTTGAGAAATCTGTTTACTGCGAGGCTAGCTTTCTTTCCTTCTCACTAGAAGACTGGATACAAATTTCACACGCCCACCACGGCCTCTCAAAACTTGATAAACTTATCTTGCTTTTGTAGGAGAAAAGGCCACAGATTAGTCTCGTTTTGCTAATATCTCACGGGCTCCACGATATATTACAAGACGTGGCTGAGCGCAATGCAGGAACTGTTGAATGTGAGCATCAAGAGATATATGAAGTATTACACCTTTATAGTTGCCTCTGACCTACACTATAATGCCTTAGTCCTAGATAACCGGGTGAGTAGAGCTCTCCTTCTAAATGAGATAGGCGAGGAAAACGCCAGCAAGGACATCCTTCAGACTCTCCTTGGCGGACTCCACTGAGTCTGTGGATATACTGGCATTGCTGAGTCACTGGACCAACTTCAACCTAGTCATAAAAAGCAAAAAAGTGGGTAGCGGGATGTTAAAAACTTAAATGATAGAGAGGATCAAAATTGACTATATGATTGGTGGAAGGTGTATAAGAAGCAAGACCCTCAGGTGGTTGCTGCTGCCAGAGGTTTCTAGTAATCCTAGCGTAGAAGTATCAGTTGAGAGACTATTCAACACAGGAAGAGATGTGCTTGGTCTACGTCGATTCACCATAAAGGAGAGACGTTGAGGATATTGACGATGCTAGATTTTGTTTTGCTGAGCGAAGCGAGGCAAGATAATATATCTTACGAAATGTCTCGATAACTCAGCTCACACGAGAACGGATTTCTAGCCAAAATTCAAAATTCCTTTTGCACGTTGGTAAGCATAGATGCGAGGAGTTTGCAGTGCCTGGCCCATCTGGGTAACATACCATAGGACTTGACAGTTGGACTTGAGCATTGGATCTCAGTATTTGGTGAACAAGTACATTGAATATCACTCCACTCCACCCAGCCCGTGTTGGATATCCACCATACCGGCGACTTCTAACGATTTATCACCTAGCAATGGGCCAACGTCAATGAAACCTGCAGTCTCATTGGATGCACGAATTGAGTTTGTGACATCGAGTGACTTCCCATTATTGTCAGCTGTAGAATAGAGAGGTCCCTAGGCTGACAAAACGCCCCATTCCCCCGCCCCCCCGATTTGTGTACTAGTAGTCAGTAGCCACTTGCCGCGATTATCTAAGACTCAGCAGGATACCTAACTAACTAGTTAGGTAGATCTCGGCGCTTCTCCGAACAGTTACACTCATTTTACCTCTTGGGCCAATATTCTACTGTCCGTACCATAGAAAACAGTCCTCACTTTGTTCATCACCTTATCTCTCCGAATATTTATCTTAATCTGCTCAAATAAGCCACAAGGCTCAAGGTTATCGTAGCATTACTTCAATGGGTATCTTCATTCCTCGGGCATAAAGATTGCGATACCATGGCGTACGTAGGTCTACCAGACCCATCGTTACAATATATCCACTTCAAATGGACGATTTGGCGGGATCGGGATCTCGGGATCCAAATATTTTGCGGGAAAGAGATCGACGCGCGGAACAACCCCGTTCGGAAAGACATCAGCAAGTACAATAGCCCATGCGCCTTGTTCTGTACCAGCGGGGAACACGCCTTCTCGAATTGTTGTTCATCGGCGGGCTAGAATACTGTATTCAAAATCTCAATTTGGAAGGTGCAGCCCCAGCCTATTTGCCATTGCCGCAAACCTGCTTTTCGGTTTTCTTCTTTGATACTGACTTGCTCACACAGCTATACATATTACGTACGGCCTATAAGCAAAAGTTCAAGAAAGGAAAGTTGAGCGTGAATAATCCTTTCCCATATGTAAGACAGGTGTCGATCGATTTGACGTGCCAGGGTTCTCTGGGTACCCGGATCCATCTCCGCCCGTGGAGCTAGCCCGTGTGGATGAAATCCCGGGGCGAGCAATTACCCGTTGAGGTAATGTGAGACTTCAAATCCACATCACTGATCGGCCGACAGAGCTTTTGGGAATAAAATAGGCTGTAAAAGCTGGCCTTGACGAATTTCTGGTGAGGTGTATATTATTCTGCCCCTGAAATCACGCATATGAATACGGGAACGAGCATTTACCTGCCCAAGCAATACTCCATACAAGCCTTCCGATTACATTGCTGATGGTTGTATAAAATAGAAAACAAGTCAAAAGTGGAAACGATAATCAGAGCCAACGCAAGATTTAGATACAGGTGACCTTTGAATGGGAAACATGACACCGAAATCAATTATTATTTGATGGTTCTGGGTATACAACATAGTCTTTAGTCATATCACCCGATTTTACGTGAAGCTATCAGAACGGGTGCCGGTGGCTGCTGTGGTGCGAATGCGCTACGGGAATGCAAGCCAAGGGTGACTTCAGTGCTTCACGTATTGGAATGTATTATATTGTACCGTTTCAGAGAAAGGATGCGCCCAGTTTCTGCAAATCCTCCATGTGGCGTGGTATAGCTGATGTCTAATCCGACGACCCAGCCAGCCCTGAAAGCTTGGCGCTTATTGCTGAAAGCTTGGCGCTTATTGCTGAAAGCTTGGCGCTTATTGCTTAAAGCTTGGCGCTTATTTTGCTGGCCACGCCGGATGAGAAACCCCACACCAACAATGAGACCATTTGATCGAGATGCATCACTAGACTAGGGAGACAGCTCGCTGGAGTTTGGCTATGGCATATTATTTCGAATCGGTTCTGTCTTGACTAATTGCGCTACAACGTATCTTGCTCCAGAGGGCAATGCCGGAAAGTACGAAGTCTAGATACGTAGGATCAAGCTTTGATGGCTTCATTGGGAGCACGTGGAAATGAATGCGACGTAACAATGTACTCAATAGCTTCTTCATTGCACATGAAGTCGGTCTACGAATCTGGTTAGAGTGCATTCAAGTTGACTCTGCGGCAGGATAGTTGACAGAAATATTGAGTTAAACGCTTATACACCTTGACTCAAAAAGGAAAATGGTGAATTTACTTTTTGAAATTAATGGAATGGCGGAGTAAGCCGCTACTGGGCAAATTTGACTTCAATATGTCTCAAGACATTTCGGAATTTCTTGGTATCTTCTCCGTCTCTGGGTCGGCTTCGAGATATAAAAGGCGACATATGTCCCAGTGAAATGCGAACATATCCAACCAGACATCTTCTCATCTCCCATTCCAATTGTCTTACAGCCATCTTCCAAATCAGGTAAGTGAGCCTTGCTTTCCACTTTTATGAGATGTTCGACATTCTTACTTGATGTTCCTAGCAGGCAGCCATGTTCATCAAACCACTGTCAGGTATTGCGCTGCTTCTGCATGCTGCAGCACTTACCTCCGCGGAATTTATTGTCAAAATTGGATATTTTGGGGGTCTTGTTCCAGGCCTTCCTAGCACCGAACCTGGTGTTGGATGTGGGCTTTATATGACAGGAATCGCCGAGGGGCAGGCACTTTCGGTCGACTTTCTTCCGGACCATCAACCCACGGATGACTGCCCTGCGGCTGATTTGGTACTCTTTTGTTCGAGATGGGGATGTCCGTTTGAGACAACATTTGAACATCTTGTCGAGGTCACTGTCTTATCGGACGATTCCAGCGACAAATCGATTACCGTGACAGGGCTTGCTCTTAGTGGTAGGAGTGCCACGGTTAAGTGCCCATGGACACCAGTGACTATCGGTAGCCAAGGAGGCCTCGGTCTATACCAGGAGTGGGTATGCGACCTGAGTGCGACCCAAGGATGAAGAGCAGGTGGTTAAGATTGGCAGTTGGGGTTGCTCAAAACCAGCTGACGGGCAACTGAAGTTTTGTTTCGTGCCTGCGAGCCTATGTTGACTGTTCAATCAAAGTGATGAGCCAGGTGGAAACCAAATGTCTGTATATCTTTGTATCGGATTTTGGGTTACGTGTGGACCTGATCGTCATGACCGCCGGGTTTTGTTTGTGCCAGTGTGACTGTCTCGTCTGGCAAATGGGGATGCTCTCAACAGTCTTTCTCTGTTTCATTTCAGCGGGTCAGTTACTTCTTCCATTTCTATAAGCCACAGTATGTATGTACAAATGGCTTCACCTACCCTAGTTCTAGATCTTGAGCGCAGATGGTGTCTTCTTTGAATAAATTGTCTTTTGACTCTGCAGGCTGGTTTTTATACAGACAAGGATTATCAAGCTTAACAAAACAAGATAGAACCCCAATGCGTAGGCTCCGGCAAAGCGCGAGGGCCGACCCGCTCGGAGGCTACCAGTCATTACCGGGACCGGGTAACCTGGTGACCTTGGCGACCTGGCGACCTGGCGAACCCCTTATTCGTCGGGACTGACAGCTAGAATTTCCAGCAAAAACTCAAAAGCATCGATTAGTCAAATTGAAGTGTGATGATGATTCCTGACTTGGCCCTTGACCATTGTCGTACAGCCACCTTTGATAGACCGCTACTTATACATGGTGGCGAAGGTCTGAGGCACAACATTACTTGAAAAAGAATAATCCCTAGCGGTGCTTAGATCTCGCTTATTCACAAATATCAGGACTAAATCAACCCAAGTGCAGTGCCTTGGTTAATATAACGTTCGTCGGATGGTTTTGGTAAACACGTGGATGCTAGTTGTCTCATTTGCTGCTTTTGGATATTGCTAGACGATGACATGTGATTTGGAAATGGGGGGTTGACTTCGCATAAGTTATCTAGATAGATACCAACATTGTAGAAAGAAAAAACATCAAGCTGAAGCAATCCGTGTAATAATGTTCAAACTCCGAGGCATGGGGCGTGGTTCTTTCAGAACTTGGGTGCTGGAAAAACCATGAACTTCAGTAACATATTAATTGCGATCGTCTCGTGGCCGTACAGGAATATCAAATGGTCGTGCTGGCCAATAAAATCAAGGCGTAAATGACCTCACGCATCCCCCTTGACCGAACTGAGCGAGGATATCGCAAGTCGGTCTCCTTGAAGGTCAAGTATTCGGCCTCTTGATCCCTGAATCAATAGGATTTTACATAATGGTTAACTCGAAGTTGTTCCCCGCATAAAGAGACTAAGCTGAATAGGTGGTAATTGAATCACCTGAAAACTCAGCATGATCGCGCCGTCCCGCAGTTGCTTAGATCGACATCGGTATATACTGTTGTTGATATCGACACGCTGCTTGTTGTGGACGATGATCGATATGTCCGCTTAAATCAGATATCCGGACCAATGGGGTCCAAGCTACCTCCTCCGACAAAGTTGAGGTCATCGCCACGTTGCATCACAGGGTCTTGTCACCCTGCCCTACCTGGGGCCATGAGATTGGCATGAATTCAACAAAGAAGTTGAGCGATAATATATATATAATGCGACCCTGTTGCAAACTGAAACTTCGGTAACACCTTCAAACCCCTTGGCAGCCTTGTGGATCTTGATACGGCTCTCCTATTGGACTTTTACGCCACTCATTTAAGATCTCAGTCCACCTGAACTCTCAAACCCCTCGAGACACTGATATCGCGCAAAATGGCAACATTGAACTTTGATTTGAAAAACAGCACTGGTTCTAACACGGTCTATGCCTATATTACAGGCCAGGCGCTTGATAATAACAATGCGCTTTTCCTCTTGCGATCTGATGGTAAAACCGCCTACTATCCGACCTCACCATCGGCCACTGGGGCCGCTCTGAGCGAGGATTGTGCGATTCCGTTGGGTGCGTCTGGCAATACCATCACCATTACTATCCCGCACCTTGCAGGCGCCCGACTGTGGTTTGCGCAAGACAACAAATTGACATTCTTTCTGAATCCTGGCCCTGCCCTTGTTGAGCCTTCGGTATCCAACCCATCGGACGCTAACTACAATCTGATGTGGTCCTTTTGCGAATTCACCTGGAATGACTATCAGCTTTATGCAAATCTCAGCTACGTCGACTTCGTGTCGATGCCTATCGCTATGACTCTAACCAACGGATCTGGTGTAGACCAGACCGTCAAGGGTCTGCCAGCCAATGGCCTTGATCTAGTCTGCAATGCTCTCAAAGAACAGAACACCAAGGATAGTGCCGGCTGGGATCAGCTCATCATCCAGCACAACGGTGTCAATTTGCGGGCGGTTTCGCCAAACACGGGAAGAGCCCTCAATAATTCTTTGTTCGACAATTACTACGGGAGCTACGTGGATCAAGTCTGGTCTTACTACGGAAACAATACTTTGACAGTCAACACGCAAGCTGCCGCCGGTGATGTCACCGCCAAGGTTGCCTCTGATCTCTTGTCCTTCTCAGTTGCAGGTATTTCCTACACCAAGCCGTCTACCGGAGACATCTTCAGCAACAGCAGTGGATCCTTTGCTGTTTCTGGGAATAGCACCAAAGATGCCGTTACCGCTCGTCTTGCAGCTGCGTTCAACCGCTCAACTTTGTTGATAAATAGCGACCAGCCGAACGGGGAGTCGGTTTCAAACTACTACAAAAACCCTGTGACGAACCACTACGCCCGCATCTGTCATTCTGTAAACATTGATACCCGAGGCTATGCGTTCCCCTATGATGATGTTGCGCCTAACGATGGCGCCGATCAGTCTGGCAGTGTTTTTGATGGCAATCCAAAGCTCCTGACGGTCACCATTGGCGGCGGCTCTAGTAATTCTGTCAAGCAGTCTGCCGTTGAGGACAATGCTACGCCAATCCAGCGACCTGTGGAGAATGGACAAAGCAAGGAGAGTGGAAGGAAGCCGAGCCGCTTCCATGAGCTGAGGAGCTTTGTGAATAAGCTGTCGCACAGGAAGAGCAAAACCTGAGAAACATAGGCTTGTCTCAGCGCTATATGATTATGCTGTCGTATATTGTAAATGCTAACGTATATATGTGACCTTCGGTCGTCATTCTGTCTTTTGAATTCGTTGGAAATAGGAGAATATGATTCTATCCCTTGCAACATACAAGAGAGTAAGGTGCCTGCAAATTGATGACCTGCATCGTTGTAACAGTTCCCTCTGCTTATTCCCTAGCATGCTTTTTAATGTAAGCAACCACCTGATCCGGCATAGCCAACCAGGGCGTGTGTCCGGCATTAATTTTCTCGGTTTCAATTTGTGCCCCCTTCCGTCGTGCCCGCTCCACCAACACCTGCTGAACCGGCAACGGAATCGCGCGATCATCCTCGGTCAGAAGATATGTAGAGGGGATGTTCATATACGCTGCACCAGTAGCGGGCGCGTTCTTAGTCGCCCAAGAATGTGGCTTCAGAAGCTTGACCCACTCCGCACCATCAGGAACATCATGGAAAAACAGCACGAGTGGATCGCTGGCAGTCACAGTTCCCTTCTCTTCCTGGAATAAATGTCAGTGGTCACATAGAAAGTTTGCAAATAGAAGTCGGACAACTTACATCGCGCACATACCACGGCGGGGGCATCCCACCAAACGCGCCGATCAAACTCTCGCCAATGCTGGGCAGGAAAGCGGCAATGAAGATGAGTTTCACGACGCCGCCCTTCTGGCCGGCTGCTTCGCGCTCTGACCTGCTCAGCCCATCTAACGCGCTGCTCACTGGTAACCCGGCCCAGCTGTGCGTGACGATGACGATGTCATGGCCAGCATCTGCCTCCTGTTGAGTGATAGATCTCACGGCCTCGATATCTGACTGAAGGTCGACAACAGAGCTGGCTTGCTGGATGGAGGGAAATGCGATACTGTGGCAGCTATAGTCGGCGAGGTCCTTGATGATTGGGTCGAAGATGGTGGGCGGGCACCATGCGCCCGCCGCGAAAATCAGAGTTGTCTTTGACATTGTCGCCCCGGTTAATGTGAAAGCTATATGAATTGGATACGGGCGCTTGCTCTGTGAAATGCAAGCTTGTAAGGCTGAGAGGTTGCAGTGGTCATGGAAGCGACCATGCGGGACTTCATTTTCACTTTAATTTTACCGCTTTTCTCTCCCGTCTGAATTAATATCTCATCCACATCGATGATTTCCATTACACTCTTGGTTATTCATAGCAGTGACATCTTTACGTGGTGTCGCGGGTTACTCGGGTATACACGATGACGCAAATTACAATGATATTGGCCAGTACAGGAACCAGTGAAAGGAAATAGACAATGTGTACGGAGTATCGAGACCAAGTCTCAAAGGAACAACATTTTGAAACAATTTAACCCACTTCCTCGGGGTCACTGAGCAAGGCATGCAACTTGCCACCATCCATTTTTGCCAGAGCCTGGTACGGTCCATCCTCTACGACAGCTCCCTGGTCAAGAACAACGACATGGTTCGCGATCTCGATCATTTCCTTCGAGTGCGTGATAATGATAACAGTAAGCCCTTGACGCACGGCCACTAACTGCTGCACTGTTTGCCGGACGATCTCTGCACCCGCTGGATCCAAGCTGGACGTGGCTTCATCGAGAATCAAGATTTGAGGTTGACGCAAGAGAGCCCGTGCAATGACCACACGCTGTTTCTGACCACCCGAAAGGCCAACCCCGCCATCTCCGATCACAGTATTATATCCACGAGGCAGAGAGGAGATGAAATCATCAATTCCTGCTCCTTCAGCGGCAGCTCGGACACTATGAGATGAGGCTAGAGGTGAGTGCTGATCTAGCCCGTAACTGATATTTTCATGAATAGTGCCGGGGAAAATGGTTGGTTGTTGCGATACGATGGAGATCTGTGAGCGGAGAGTAGGGACATGCAGCCGAAGGATGTCCGCGCCGCCGAGTGTCACTGTAGGCTGTCCCATTTCGGAGGCCGGAGCTTCGTAGAGCGATAATAGCAGCGACGCGATTGTGGATTTTCCCGATCCGGATCGTCCTACGAGCGCTGTGCATGAGTTGCGTGGGATGGTAATCGAGACATTCTTTAACACCGATGTGTTTGGCCGAGAGGGATAACGGAAATTCAGGTTGGTGAGCTTGATTGGGGTGAGCTCTGAAACAATCAAACTACCGAGGTGCTCGTGGGATCCATCTTGTGAGAGTTTCGCAAGGCGAATGAGCTGTGTCGCTACCTCACGGGATGTGTTGATTTGGGGAACTATCAAGGCGTGAGTTGAGTGCTTCGAAGTGTTTCGGGGCCTACTTACTCCATGAGAGAATCTGAGCAGCGTATCCAATGCTGAAAAGTAGCATCGAGAATACCATCATCACATCGTTCACACTGAACTCTCGGGATGCTGCGAGAACCGCTCCATAATAGAATATCAAAGCTATTCAAGAGAGTTAGAACAATGGCAAACAATAAATAATCAGCGAGCTTACCTGTAGAAAAAATGACTGTTGATTCCACCATACCGAAAAGCATGCCTGTATAGATAGCACGTTTCAGCCCCAGCAACAAGCACCGTGCGGTCGCATGAGCTTGTTTGCGATGGAAGTGACCTTCTAAGGTCAATGTCCTCACGGTACGGATCTCTGAAAAGGTCTCCGTAAAGACATCGGCGGCGATACTGTTCGCGTCATTGCATCGTCTTTCCCATAGCCCATTTGTTCCCTCGAAGCCTCGAGTGATGATATAAATGACAGGTCCACAGGAAAGAGCAACAAGTGTCAACTTCCAGCAAACAATCAAGCTCCAGATAACTGCCATGGCGGTGATTGCTGCTGCAACGATCACAAAACCGGCAAATCGGCCAAGCAGGTTTCGCATGTCTTCGCCATTTTGATCGAGGGACGATGTGAGTCTGAGAGATCCGTTACCATCTTTCTCAAACCAGGCGCGTGGTTGATCGAGAATGCGTTCAAAGGCATTTTTCCTAAATGAATCCATCCAAGCCTCGCCGCAAAGTTCTAGGAAGTAATGCATGAAAAAGGACGCAAGGCCATCGCCGAAAGACACTCCTAAGACAGCAAGCGACCATGTCATGGTTAGGTGTTCGCTGTTATTTCCAGCATAGAAGGTTCCAAACAGCTGCGACAGGCAATATGAGAACAACGGAGTTGCGCTTGCGTGGGCCAGTGCTGCGGCGAATCCTAGGAAGAGGATGATTCGCTGTCTGATCGTCAAGGTCGAAGGAATGGTGCCCATAATTCGAGAGAGCGGAGTCATTCGTTCTTTCAGTATCTTCTGCTCTTTTGACTTCTTGCGGCGGCCATGAGATCTCCGGCTGCGCTTCGCCTCTGATGGATTTTTCGCGGTGTATTCATTGAGCCATGGAGACTTCAGGCTCTGATCATCAATGTGAACCATTTCGACTTCTTCCGTGGGAATTTGAATGGCTATTTCTTTCGAGTCCCATTGGGGATCAGGTCCTTCCGTCGTGAAAGAAAGACGTTGGCTCCAATCTTGCAAGAGCGATCCGGGGAACTGTTCGTTCCTGACTACATATTCCTCCTTCCTCCTTGAGGTTAAGTCCAGTGAGCCTGAGCGAAAGGTCGGGGGTATGTGGCCTTGAACCCAGGATGTCCTAGCTCGATGATGTCCGAGAAACGCTGTTGGAGGTCTGAATGTATCCAAGCTTTCCGACGATGAGCTCTCCCATGGTAAGTCCATATCATCCAGAGCTCTTTCATTCTTGGTTTCAAGATGGCCGTCGACTTTCGTATGGAAGTACTTCTCACTCTCCGGACTGACCTCGACAGCGTATCTGTAACCGGATTTCACAATCGAACCCTGTTCGAGAATGTACAGGAAATCTTGTTCCATAATTTGTGACATCTCGTGAGTGATGATGATGGTTGTCTTTCCTTTCCGCCACTCACGGATTGCCTTCATTATTGCGACTCGGTTGGCATGATCGAGAGCGCTGGTGGGCTCGTCCAGGATCAGAATTGGGGTGTCGCGTAATTTCGCTCTGGCAATTGCAACTCGCTGTCTTTGGCCACCGCTCAAAAAGCTTCCACCGGGGCCAACGCATGTGTTGATTCCCTTGGGGAGACCATTGATTGTGCTCTCAAGCATGGCCAACTCAATGGGATCTTTGACATCTTGCTTAGTGACGCTTTCATGATCCTGGCGACCGAAGGCGATGTTCGTGAGCACAGACTCATTGAAGAGAACGCTTTTTTGCTCTAAAAGAGTGATATTGTTGCGAATCCAGTTGATGTCGAGTCTTTGGATTGGATTGCGGTCAATCAAGATTTCACCCGAGGTTGGCAAGTAGAACCGCATCAGCAGTTGGCTGAGGGTGCTTTTACCAGAGCCGCTTTTCCCTATAACAAACGTCGTTTCTCCAGCGGGGAAGAAAAAGCTTGACGGTTTGAGAACGCATTGATCGGGTTGACTAGGATATGAAAATGATACCTTCATGAATGTTCGTTAGTGTCCATTTAAAACCCAGAGAAGAGTTCATACTCACGTTTTTCACCTCAATATCACCTTCACAGTGTTCCGGATACCGAGTTCCCTTTACCTCGCTGACAATCTTGTCTTCTCTCCGGCTCTGTATTATCGATCTCAAGGCGACACCAGCGACCCTTCCCTTTTCCATCACGATCATCTGTGGCAACACCTGCTCGATGGATTGAGCTGCGGTCAGACAGGCCCAGAAAGTTCTGAGAACTTCTCCGGATGTGAGTTTCCCGGCGCGTGCAAGGGAACTGCCATACCAAAATCCCTGAACAAACATCCCAAACATCATCCATCGGATGATAGCAATTTGCAGAGAATTCAGCCGAGCCTGTCGAAGGTAATGTGTGGCAGAACTCTCAATGCGCTCAGCAAAATTCCGATGCTCGAACGCCTGCCCATTAAGGCATTTGACTGTATCGATATTGGTGATAGCGTTGTTAGCAACCTTGGAAGCCTCCGTAAGCTCAGCCTGCTGTGCCGTAATGCTGAACTTCATTTTGGAAGACA